GCACACAAAAAAACACACACCCACACACACACACACACACACACACACACACACGATCAAAACAATCACACTGCACAAGAGATGCAATGAGCAGCAATTGCCGGCTGCTCCCCACTTCCACTCTCCCTAGAAAAAACCACTTTGGACAGTCTCTGAGTTTTCAGACTTTCTTGTGACTAACCCTTTCTTATCGCCATCTTCAAAGGCTCATAAAATGGTTTCTAATCCATGTGTGGTGGTACATGCCTTCAATCTCAGTACTCAGAAGGCTCAAGAGCTCAAGGCCAGCCTCAGCCACCTAGAGGCTGTTCTATATGAGGTAATTTCTTGAAAAAACAAAACCAGGGACTGGAGAAGTGGCTCAGAGGTTAAGAGCACTGCCTGCTCTTCCAGAGGCACTGAGTTCAATTTCCCAGCAATGGCATGGTGGCTCACAACCCTTATGAGATCTGGTGCCCTCTTCTGGCCTGCAGGGAAACATGTAAGCAGAACACTGTATACATAATAAACAAATCTTTAAAAAAAAAAAAAAAAAAAAAAAAAAAAAAAAAGCAAAACAAAAGCAATCCAAACCAAAGTTGGGGTTAGGGTGGGAAGGGGAGGGGGGTTATAAAAACCTCAGTGTAGTGACTTTGCAATAGCACCCGACTCGGAAGCACAAAGAAGTGACCTCAAGTATTTTGATCAAGACTTCTACAGCCTGTCCTTGGATCATAAATGTGCTATAAATCAAACAACCACAAAAATTTTCCATACTTGCTGATTTACTCCAAGTAAAAAAGTCTACCTGAATGCCTGTGCATTGGTGTATATATCATTTCCTCAAATCCATCCAAAAACAACTTATCTAACATCTACTGTGAGCCAGACATTAAGAAAAGACCTTTTGCTCCTACTGACACAGATAATGTGGGGCCCCTGTTCACAAATCATCCTGGTTATTATGGGATGTCTGGGATGGACTCGCTGAAGCAGAGCTGGAGTTTCCCATAAAATGAAGAGGCTATGAATAGAGGACAAGAGAATAACATGACAACCAAAGTGGTGAAGCCTCAGGCCAGAGGCAAAAGATTGGGTCATCAGAATCCGCAGCTGCTCAATCCTCATTGGGTTTTCCACCCCAGAATATCATCTAAGAGACAATTGGTGGGAAAGAGTGTGGTGCTGGATTCTAACAGAATCACTATTGGCAACGCAAGATCTAAACACAGTGCCTCCCCAGTCAAACGATATGGTCATAAATGACTGATTATATTTGTGGTTGAGAAGTCTAACAGGGAGAGAGGAAAGGCAGGGCACGGTGGTAAACAAGGATCATCTGGTCTATCTGGGGAAAGGACACCCAACCAGCTGCTGTGCTCCACCTTCAGATCCAAGAGGCTCCGTATTCTATGTCCATCTCTATTCTGTTGGGAGCAAAGCCACGTCCCGGAGGCTGAACCTCTGACAAAGGTGGGCACTGAGTTTCCACGTGTTGGGAGGATTATTTCGCTGTTAAGCACCTGGAACAATGTGTGTGGGTGGGAGGGAGTGGGGAAGACCAAAAAAAAAAATCATCAGTGGGCCATCTGCCAAGGCACTGTCTCATGAGGAAGCCTTCAGTGGAGGACGCCTTTTCCTTCCCCAGTTTTCCTCTGGGTTTCCCTCTCCGTGAGTTCTTGTTAGAAGGGGGGAAGGAATGGGGGAGGAACAGGTTGTGAAGGGAGGGACCAGTGGAGAGAGAAAAGAAGAGTGGGAAGCAGTTGTAAATGGAAGGTTCAGGCAAAGGGGAAGTACACTTTGTTTCACTCTTCAAGCTGCCTTGGTCCCTCAGTCTCTTTGGCCACTCTCTTGTTCTCTTCATGTCAGGCACCTCCAGAGCCGCTTTCTTCTTCTTCTTTTTATTATTTTTCCATTTTTAAAATTTAAATTAGAAACAATCTTATTTTACATATCAATCCCTGTTCCCTCTCCCTCTTATCCTCCCATGCCCCCACCGACTTCCCCAGGGAGAGTGAGGCCTTCCATGGGAGATCATCAAAGTCTGTCACATCATTGGGATAGGGCCTAGGCCCTCCCCCGTGTGTTTAGGCTGAGAGAGTATCCCTTCATGGGGGAATGGGCTCCCAAAGTCCATTTGTGCACTAGAAATAAATACTGGTTCCACCGCAAGAAGTCCCTTAGACTGCCCAGGCCTCCTAACTGTCACCCAAGTTCAGGGGGCCTGGTTCGGTCCTATGCTGGTTCCCCAGCTGTCTGGCTGGGCTCCAGGAGCTCACACTTGCTCAGGTCAGCTGTTTCTGTGGTTTTCCCCAGCATGGTCTTGACCCCTTTGCTCATCACCAGAGCCACTTTCAGGGTACCAAGAATGCTCATGTGGATCATTTTCCTTTCTAACTGGCTGCCTTTCACACAGATTTCACCTATAGTATCAGTGAGGCTTTCCTTTTTTTCCCCCTGTCTCTCTCTTTTCTAATATATGTGTACACACTGTGTAATGATTATCATAACCAAATTAACACGTCCCTCACCACTCTAACTGGAATTAGATTCCCAGAACCTGTTTACCTTCTAACTAAATGCTGGTCTCCTTTGACCAGCTGGTCACCAATCCCTCAAAATCATTGTTCTACTCTCTGCTTCCAAGACTTCACTTTTTCTAGACTCCACACATCGGTGAGGTCACACAGCATTTGTGTTGTACTAATTTAATAGCACAGTATCCTCTAGGTTTGCCCATATTGTTAGAATGGCAGGATTGCTTTTGTTTGTAGCCAAATAGTATTCCTCAGATGTGAGAGCCAGTTTAGAAAATCCATCCAGTTCACGGATGCCATGGGTTGTTTCCACATCCTAGCTGTTGTGGCTAGGGCTGCAGTGAACATGGGGATGTAGAAATCTCTCTGAGATGCTGTTTTCATTTCCTTTGGGGGTAATTGCCCTGAAAAAAGATTGTGGGATTATTTTTCCCCCAAGGAAGAGGGTTCTGAGAAAGAAATTAAATAATTGAAAATATCTTTAAAAGGCATTCTAAAAAATATGGCCAATCTTGGCTCAAAGTAATTGTGTCTTAAAATCATTACCATCCCCTTCCAGGCATCGCTGTTCTCTCTAAACCATGTTAGCTCAAAAATCTGTTCAGTTTCCTGATAGCTTTAATGGCTCATAGTCGGTGGGGCGGGATGATATTTGAGTTAGGAAAGGTGTGTCTGGCAAAGGTATAAGGGTGACCCCACTAAGGATACATGAACATCAGGTAAGACAAGCTAAAGGTTGTGCAAGGGTGGTCAGGATACGTAAGTGATGCTAAATCCTAAAGGCCTGCTGCTGTTAGCAGTGAGATGGGTGTGGCATGAAGGCCGTAGTAATTGGCCCTTACGAATGGCAGATGTGAAAGAGTAGAAAACAGTTTCCTTCTGATAATGAACTTGTTCCCCATTCGTTTAATGGATATTTTCAGTAAATTAAAAAAAGCCCACCATCTTATTAGTATTTCTCAGCAATTGGCCACTGGGAGACTCTGTAGGATATCAGGAAGAGTTCTTACAGGGATTGAACATAATTGCTTGGAGAGTTACTGGAGATTTCTTTAATCAGAGTGGAAATAAGGATACTCTGAAGCCTTGGAAGTGTGGTACTTAATGGAGAAGGTTCAAAGCATGTCTCTCAGCTGTTGGTGGGTAGAGGGAAGGGTGGGCTAAAGGCGTGGAACTTGTTGTTTTTTTTTGTTTTTTCCTCCTCCGTATAATCCCAGTGTTCCCTTCTCAGAGACCTCCTCACCTGCACTGTAAGGTCCTTCACTGACTGAGATGGCTGACGGAAGGGCTGACCAGAGGCTGAATAAGGAATTAAACTTCTCCTTTTGTGAAGAAGACACTGAGAAGGGAGCCCAGAAGACAGCAGGCGGAGGCGCTGCAGAGGCCCAGAGCCAAAAGTCTGAGAGGGATAGGGATGAGGAGCCGGAAGGTCCCAAGTCTCCCCCCAGAGATGAACTTTATCCTTCTCAGAACAGGGAAAAGGAAAGTCCAGGGCCTTCTCTTTGGATTCCAGTTTCATCCCTTCCAAAATGTCCGGAGACACCAAAACCACACAGCAAGGACAGGATGCCAGTGAATGACAACCTCTCCACTCCCAAAGTGAGTAAACCATGGTGAGGAAGGGACCAGCTCCCCGAAATCTGTTTTCCTATGGGTTAACTGATGGGAGAGGAGGGTTTGGTCATTTACATATATGTAATGATCTGACCTTACAGGCAATATATATCTTCAGTTACTTGTTCCTTATTGGAAACCGACTCGAGTTTAAAGTTACCCAGAAACAAAGTGAAATGTCTAACTGCTTGTTTCCCTCAACCAGTAACTATTTGGTATTGGCTACACAAACATCTTAGTTGAAAAGACCTTAGTTAAGGAATATTGGAACTGGAAGAACTGTGGTGTGGAGGTCCACAGCCATCCCATGGACCAAGAAAAGCAGTTTTCAAGAGATGAGCTGTCTTACCTCAGCCCCTGTCAGGGACAAGATTGGATAGTTCATTTTTTAATTAATACAGGAATGTTCCCCTTCCCATTATGCCAGCTGGCTGTATTTCTGGGTAATTGTTTACCAATATTTTCTACTACAGGAATGTTCGTGTCCATCTGCACATACTCGTATCTGCTGCTGTTGCTCTTCCCAGCACAGAGTCCTGTCTATTTTGTGCCTAGTGCAGTATTGCACAGTATTGGCAGAACTTGTTTAAGAGTGGAAATGGTTATTTATTGTCCACGTAGTCTTTGATTTACACTACACTATATTGCTCATTTATTAAAGCTGGGGCTCGGGGATGGTTACATCTAGTAGATTCTGATGACATGGTGTGTGATTCCCTAGGCTGAATATTAACTCTGCTCCCTGCCAGCTCAGCTGGAGGTACTTAAGATCATTATAATATGTGTGATCCTGCTTGCAGCACAGTTGCTGTCAGCAGCGGGTCGCCATAGTGCCTGCTGAGGGCCAGAGTGTGTCTCACAGGAAAGACTAGGCTTCTTGCTGAACTGTAGACAATCAAATAGGTTCTTGTGTCCATCAGAAGGTGTTTTGTGTTCCAGTACCGACCAACTGATTATCTGTTTTCTTCTTCTTGAGAACCCACTGTGGGTAATGAACACAGGACACAATCTCTCTTTGCAATCAGCTTACAATTAATTCATCAGGAGATAGGGAGAGTGGTGTTTTGGGAATTCTGTGAATTCTCACAGTGGGATGATTAGAAAGGAAGAAAGGTGGAGGGAGAAAGTGAATAGCAATGACAGTTGGTGTTGCTTCAAAAGACGATGGAGAAAGGGCTTTCCGTGAGACTATGCAGGCAAGACAGTGGGATGAGCACACATATGTCTTTCAGTCATTACATTACCAGGGTCTGTTAGCAGACCCTCTGCTAGAAGACACCATTTACTTTAACAAGTCCCCCCCCCATTAATAAGCATCCCAAGCGGTAGTAAACATTCAGATAATGTGAAGAATGGCAGAGTACGAGGAGCAGAAATTGGGAATTAAGGTTCCAATCAGTGGGAGCAGTTTTCTAAAGGAAGTACTGTCTGAGGAAAGAAGTGGACAATGAACTAGAGTTAGCCAAGTAAAGACGGGAAGGAGATCCTCAAGCAAAGGACAAGACATCCATTGAGTAACAGAGTGGAGGGAAAGCCATCTGTTATTCAGTGGCAGAGGAGTGTCTTGAGGGGAGGGGCAGGGAATGAGGTGAGATGGGTACGCAAAAGAGAGGTGAACCTTCTGTGGAGGGCACCAACTACCGATGCCTTGCTGAAGACACCTCTGCTGCAGCACAGGAAAGGAGGGTAGGCATATTTCTGCTTTTCCTCAGATGTGCACACAGGAATCACAGGAAAGGAGGGTAGGCATATTTCTGCTTTTCCTCAGATGTGCACACAGGAATCATGCAACACTGACTCCCTTCTCCATCAGAGGTTCTTAGTGGAACCACTGAATAGGAAAATGTCTTTAGGCAGTAGTAAGGTTGCTGCAGCTAATTACCTTAAACTCCAGCTGATGGTGATTCTATGGCAACATCACAGATTCAAGATTCAGAGGCTTAGTTGTCCTTTGAGTTAGCAACTTCCAAATACTGCAGTGTTATCTTGACAGAGGATTGCCTTCTCACCTTCTTCAGAAGTCAAGTAGCTACCCCACACATCTCCCTTAATCAACCATATAGAGTCTTCACTAGACATCCATCTATACTCTGTGGAGTGCACAATCCTCTCTATCTACTTTTCGTTCTGCTCTACTTCTAGGCAAAGCTTTCTTTCATAATGGATATTAATATCTTTCCCTATATCACAAGAGGAGATGGCAAATCTTATTGGTCTTCATATTTCCATGCTGGAAATTCTAGTGTCATCTACCATGGTATGAATTTCATCATGTTTTTATCTGAAAATTTCATAGGCTCTTTTTATTTTCCACCTAAATGCAGTATCCTCATCTTTGAAAGCTGAAGGTGGGACTTAGGATTGTTATCAAAATTAGGAGTCCTGCCTAGAGGAAGGGGTAGAGTTTAGCAAAAACACTGACTTCTGCGTTGATTCGAGAGATGAGACTAGAATTTCATATACTTAAAATAAGATCACCAGGTACAATGTACCTAGTTCCCACTGAACCACACAATAACATTCTTTGGCTGAAATATTGACTAGCTGGTTGGCATGAAACTTTTACTTTTTTATTTATTTATTTATTTATTTATTTATTTTTATTAGTTCAAGTTAGGGAACAAGCTTGTTTCACATATAAGTCCCTTCTCCCTCTCCCTCTCCCTATCCTCACCCCCATCCCTCCTCCCCCACCCCTCAACTTACCCCCCACTACATCCACCTATCACTCCCCAGGCAGGGGAGGGCCCTCAACAAGGGCTCTGCAAAGTCCACCAAATCCTCCTGTGCTGGGCCTGGGCCCTTCCCCATGTGTCCAGGGCCAGAGTGTAACCCATTACTTTTTAAAGTCCCCTTCTGATTAGACTTTTGTCATCCTCACTCAGAATTCAATGAAGCAGCCAGAGGTGTCTTCCGTAGGGAAGCTTTCTTCCCGAAGCTCTAAACATTTGGGGCTCACACCTACCCCTTTCATGGATGAGAAGACATCCTTGTCTCTGGTTAATATCAACCCATTCACTCCAGAGTCCTATAGAAAACTATTCCTTCAATCAAGCGGCAAGAGAAAAACCAGAGGCTCTACGTAAGTGCACATTTCTCTTGATTTCTGAGAACTCCTTTGGGCCGGTACCAGAATAAGGTTAGGAATAAGAACTCTACTTGAATGAAACTGAAGTAGTGTGTAAATGTCCCTCATCCCTGCATGTCAGTGTCGGTCACAGGAACCCAGGGATCTTTCCATTCTGATGTGTACTGCAGGGAGCCTTTTGATAAAAGAGTCTAGGAGAGCAAGCACTAGACAGCTGAATTGCTACGGACTGAATTTGATGGACTTCCTTTGGTTACAATGAAGCTAGCGACTGGGGAGGCATTCACATTTCAAACTGTATATTGCTGCTTTGAATTTGGCCTGTGATACCTGGTGATGAGAGCTACAGAGCAATGGTTTGAACTTCTCTGTAGGTGATGGAAAAAGATATTGTTGTTTCCAAAGGTGCTAATAAATGAAAAGTCAAAGTATCCCATTCCTCAAAATGCCATAGAATGGTAGAAGTCACCTAATTAAGAATTATGTGCATTACTTGAGGGCATCGTTTTTTGTTACATTTCCCTCTCTTCCTCTCTATCCCTCTTACATTGTCTTCCTGTGTGTGTGTGTGGGGGAGGTGTGTGCACATGCTGGAGGTCAGAGGACAACTCAGGGAACCAGTCCTATCCTCCTACCACATGGATCCTGGGCTTGAGCGCTGGTCATCAGGCTTCCTAGCAAGTGCCATCGCACTGCCCTTGCAGCCTGGTTTGCTAACTCGGGGATACGGCTTTGCCAGTTTTGTTGTTGTTGTTTTATACAAAGGGAACAGTTCTGAAATGGGGAAGTCATTTGTATTTGTAATACCCAGCAATATAAATGAACAGCTGTCAGAGCTTTGCAGACCTCCTAAGACTCCCTTCCCCAGTCAGTGAAGCCAGCTGGGAAAAGAGATAATGTTTACAGAAGTGGTGACACTGTAGTGATGTCTCTTAATGCTCACAAAAGACTAGCCTTATTCCAGATGAACAGTGCTGTCCCTTTAAGTTTCAGGGTGTAGTATTAAGTCTAAGTCACACATGATCATCAGCTGATGTCATGAACATAGTGTCATTTGCTTGCAGTTTCTCCCGTTTTTCTTTAAAAGAAGCTGTCTGGTGTGCCCATTGGAATCTTTCCTATAGACCCAGACAAAGGCTCATGCAGAGAATGTTCGCAAATGACTTCTTAGTGTAAAGTAATTGAAGACCCCTTAGGGAGAATTATTTTTCTGCTATACTCAATGTCTATCTGTGGACTGTGCACTGGGCTCTTGTGCAGTGTGTGTGTGTGTGTGTGTGTGTGTGTGTGTGTGTGTGTGTCAGTGTTGAAAGGACAGCATAGTGTGGTTGTGAAGGAAGAATGCCTTGGAGTTAAACTTGGTTTAAAAACCAAGTTCTTGCAATTGCTAACTGTGGAACACAGAGTGCTTTGATGTCTGTTTGGTTGGTTCCTTTGGGGAAAACAGTGCTTTCCTTTCGTTCAGCACTCTTCCTTGTTTCCAGGCCTTAGCACAGGGGTTCTCAACCCATGGATCTTAATCCTTTGGGTTGAACAACCCTTTCACAGGGGTCACATATCAGAAATCCTGCATATCAGATATTTACATTATGATTCATAACAGTAGCAAAATTACAAGTTATGAAGTAGCAACAAAAATAATTTTCTGGCTGGAGTCACCACAACATGAGAAACTTAGTTAAAGGGTCGAAGCTTTAGGAAGATTGAGAACCGCTGTCCCAGCACGTGGTAGTCTAATTACCTGAAATGGTCACTCCTTTCCCCAATCAGTTCCCATTCCTTCTTAGAATCTTAGCTTATGAGTTCTCTTCTGAGAAAGACTTTTCCTTCTGGAGATGCTCACACAGCTGGTGCTATTCCCGGGCTCTCCCAGTGCAGTTAGTACCCTGTCCTAGGCTCTTGTATTAAATTTCCTGGTTAGCTCTACTCCCAAATATAGAGTGAAGAGGGAAAGAAATTTATTTACTTACACAGAGCTTATCCAATCCCAGCCTCAGTGAGTCTGTCAATGATACCTAATCTTTAATCACTCCTGCTCTAACCTTTTCCTTTTAGCGAGGAAACTGGAGAAGGGGAAAGCACATCAGAACAGTGGCTGCCTGTGAAGGTGAGCATGGTCTTTTGGTCCAGCCTTCACAACATCCTAATCATTCTGTCTGTTTCTCCGTCTTTCTGCTTCCTATCTTTTGTTTTCTCTTCCTTCCTCTCTCTCCCACTTTCTCCTTTCATTCTTCTCGAAACCCTTTCCTCTCTCCTCACCAGTTTCCCTCACGCCCCCTTTCCCTTGACCCCTGAATCCCCCCCAACCTACTCTTCTCTACCCTACCCTTTCTCTCCTTCTACCTTCTTTCTCTCCCTTTCTCCTGTTCTTTCTTTCATCTCCCTTCATCCTGTCCACCCTTCCCCTCTCTTTCCCTTCCCCTCTCTTTCCCTTCCCCTCTTTGTCACTCTCTGTCACATACACATATTTTATGGCTTTAGCAGTTTATGTTGCAGCATAATTTATATCTAGATAATCAGTTGTTATTTAGCAACCAGTGATAGCTGATGTGTACATTGCTAAGTTATTAGATAATTCTTAAAAGTTTCTAGCTCTGCTTTTAATCATGGGAAACGTCTATACTGGGGTAGGGAAGGAATGAGAAAATTATTCCCCAAATCAAAAATTGAAATGGAGAAAGGGGTATTGAACCAGAAATTTCTATGTAAAATTTTAGCTATTAAATGTATCCTTATCTGTTCATTTTGTGATATTCCCCATATGGTAATCTAACTCATCAAATGAATATTACAAATATTTGCCTCTGAAGTATTTCTCACATCTAAATTGTAGTTGCTGAGAACTGTAGAAGGCACTGAATGACGAATAATAGAAGAAGTGATATTAAATTTTTCTTAAAGCGTTTGCACCACCTGGAGACATACCTTTTATGTATTCAATATACAAAAGTCAAAAATGTATATGACAGTTACACACGTGTTAATCAGGAATTGGATGTTGCCGTGACAGATGTTATTTCAGTGCCTTTGAACAACAGAAACCACACAATTGTTCTCACTTCTAATTACTATACTTTTCCTGAGCAAATCTTGTCTGCATAAGTAAGTTAATATTTCCCCCCATTCTTTCCCAGTCTCTCTCTCTTTCTTGGTGTGGGTTTCTCATAGCTCAGGCTGGCTTGGAATTTATAATCCTTCTGCCTCTGCCTTCTGAGTGCTGGGATCACAGGTTTGGGACATACCCCAATGGGGGTAGTATTTTTTAATGTCAGCACTTGGCTATTGAAACTGACACAGAGAAGGCTGTGGGCACAGGCTTTCAATTTTCACACACAGTCATACCTGCACTGCCTTTTCCTTTGAATTTTATTCCTCATTGATTTTATAAATCTTTAACTGGCTTCTGATAGAATGCCAAATATATTCATTAAAAGGGGAAATACATATTTATACAAAAGTCACTAGGCCAGGAGAAACTAACACATCTGAAATATCAAAATGATGCACACATAAACATAAAACAAAAAGTTACCCAGATCTGTGTGAACCTATGTGTGCTGCATGAATGTATGCATACATTTAAGGTCTGCAATGGTAGTAAAAAAAATCCTTTTAGAAAACAAAATGATAGAACAGACATGTAGACAGATAATTCTAGGCAAAAAAAAGGAAGTAATTTATAATTCTCTGAAAGCAGGGGATGGGTCCTGTGTAAGAGGGTGGGTTGGGCAGTTGAGTGGCTAGTGGTGGTGTGGACACTGAGCTGGACTGTTTGGTAGTTATGGGGGTCAAAGTACTCAGTTACAGTTGGTTGGAAAGATTTGGGTCTGTTGTCAGTGTTTAACTTTTTCTCTTGGGAAGCAACTAGACTTTTAATTCTGGGGAATCAAATTGCTATTGCTAGAGGAGTTGGAAAGAGTGCTGATGACAGAGGCAAATCCAGACATGGAAGAGTCGGAGTTTAGGATTGCCTAAGGGCAAAGGAAATTGCAGGTCTTGCCAATAAGGACTGATTGGAATTGGATGCAAAAATGATCAAGTAGCAGTCAAGTTTTTTTTTTTAATTTGCTAAAGTTAAGATGAGAAACATTCTTGCTAATTGGGACATTAAAAAAGTTGACATTGGGGAGAGAAATAATCTTAAAGTTAGACTCGTGTAGTTGTAGAGATTTTAGATTTTGATCATAGTACTAGACTGTGAAACTTCCATGTTTTGACATTATAGTATGATAACTGTGATATGTTGATATATATATGTTGTATCAACACATATATTATGTACAATGTTATGTAAACATACATAGACATGTGCAATGACATGTGTGATAAAACATTAGCTATATAGTATCATATAATATTAATGTACCCCGAGGAGTCATTGCTATGACCTTCATGTTACAGACAGAAAACTGATGAGTTCAGTGATTTCCCTGGGTTGATTTACTAGCTGGAAAATGAGTGATATTACCAGCTGACCACTAGGAAGTAATGCTGAATATATGTGACAGACTTATCCATTCAACAGTTTTGTTTCCCAGACTAAGACTTCTGTGACAATAAATTCAAACAAGAAAGGTAGAGAGTCAAAAGGAGGTTTTGGTATTGTCTGTGCTTGCTCTGAACATGCTGCACCTGTTTCCTGCCAGTCCTTTAGCTGAGTACAGTAGTTCTGGCTATGGAAGCTGTGGGTCTCCCATCAGAATAGTCTAACCAGATGGAGGAAAGAACATTTCAAACAATGTGACCAGGGGCAGTACTGACTTGTTACAAGTCAGTAAAGTTACAAAGGACACAGGTGTGGCCAGCCATTCCCAAAACATTTTGCTACCATGATTACCAATACAAAGAGAATATATTGCATTTGCCTCACATTTTAAAAAAGCAATTTAGGAAATGTAACATATCTTTGTTTTCTTGCTCACTGCATGTAGGAAGACTTATTCCCTCTCTCTCTTTTAAATATTTTAGAGAAGTGTTCTTCGAGAAACTAATATGGCTTCCCGCTATGAAAAAGAGTTCCTGGAGGTAGAAAAAATTGGGGTTGGGGAATTTGGTGTAGTCTACAAGTGCATTAAGAGGCTGGATGGATGCATTTATGCAGTAAAGCATTCTACAAAACCATTCTCAGGACTATCAAATGAGTGAGTACCTTTGAAACGCACTGGATGAACAAACTTGGATTGGTAACTCTATTGATTCTCAAAATAGTTTTTAAAAGAGCACCCATATCAATGAAAACACCCATTTGCTTGATTTTCAATTCATCCCCACCATTGGATGTCATTTTATGTTCATTGCTTCATTAAATTGTCCAGAACACCAATGGCATTTCCTAAAATAGAGCATGATATCTTCACACCATGTTGATGTTTGTAATTATAGGATCTCACCACGTAACTTTGACTAGCCTGGAACCCACTAGTTAGACAAGGCTGGCCTTGAACTCAGAGATTTGCCTGCCTCCACTGGGGTTAAAAGCATGCGCTAACCCATGCATGCCATTGTTGTTTTAATTTCTTGTCTTTTCTGTCTACTGGTCTTACCATCATTCTAACGAATTGATTTTTGGAATGGTCTCTTGGTGCCTATGTATGTTCATCTGAAATACTGTCAGATAGGAAATACTATCAGTAGTTTATCTCTACTTTATACACTTCTAGTTTACCTTTTGTGGCTGTGACAAACACCATGACTAAAAGCAGCTTGTAGAGGAGGAAAAGGTTTATTTGATTTCATGCTTCTGGGTCACAATCCATCATGGAAAGAAGTCAGGGCAAGAACTCAAACAGGGCACATATAGCAACTGTGGCGGCACACTGCTTACTGGCTTGCTGAGCAGCCTGGTTTCTTGTACTGCTCTAAAGTTGGTGCCTCCCACAGAGGTACCAACCAAATGTCAAGCAAAACAATCTCTCACAAACATAGCTATAGGCCTATCCAATTTATACAATTCCTCAAGTGATATTCCCTCTTCCTAGGTGGCTCCAATTTGTATCAAGTTGACTAAACTGACCAGCACACATACTAATACTTAAGTCAGTAGTGAAGTTTGGTGCTGAACGCAAAGAAAAACTATTAGCAATGCTTATATTTAACTCCCAGAATTAACTGCTCTTTTTTTTTTCTGATGACCATAAGGAAAAAAAAAATTTTTTTAGATTGCTTTTGTGAGCTTCTTTCATCCATACTGGCCATGCTGAGCCAGACATTATAGGTTTTTGTTTTTACACTGATGTCAAATCAGGGACAGAATTCACTTCTCTTTTGCACAATGCAGATCTCTCCTAAGGCTTTCACATGTAAACCATCAGATTGGGTGAGTTTGATAATGACTCTAATGGCTATCTAGCCTTCATGGAGAAGGGAAACCCATCCGATTGTCTACAATCAAGGGTGTGATGGCTTTCTTGTTATGCCTACGATACAATGAGATTAAGACCCAATGCATATCTGCTGTTGAGACAGTAAAGCACAACAAGTGGTACCTATGTTTGTGCCGTATCCAATCATGTTCAACGAATAAAGCTCAGACCTTGGCACCAGGCTGACTAAAGTTCTGCTCTTAGGTCTACTGTTACCAGTTTTACCTTGGATCAGTCATCATGTTTTCCAATGTATCTTACCAAGAATCTATAAAGACTGAATAGATAAAATGCTAAGCATGCGGTAGGCCCTAGAAAAATATGTTAATTTTAATGCCCACCCCATGTTTTCCCTTTAAAAAACTTTGGTGGGGGATAAAAAAATACCTTTAATCTGTAATATCTCAATTAATTTTTCTAAATGCTTTTCTGTCCCTTGGGAGTGTGGATTTGCATGAAGTTTTTGCTCATGCAGTGCTTGGCCATCACCCCCATGTGGTACGCTACTATTCTTCCTGGGCAGAAGACGATCATGTGGTCATTCAGAATGAGTACTGTAACGGTAAGTGTGTAGCCTAATACAGAGACGGGGATGAGCTTCTTCAATCTTTGCAGATAAATACGCCCCATCACGGTTTGAGCCTTTACATTCTGGAGTCACACTGCAGATGCCTGTGCTCCAAAGCAGAGATGAGAATAGAGTTGAAGAGGTCTGTGTGTGTGTGGGGGGGGCAAAGTATAGCTGATATAATAATGCCATGAGTCCCTTCACAGTTTATCTTATACTGAAAGGAAAAGATACTAATTTAAATAATTCTCTGACCATCTGCCAGGTACCTGGGAACATTTGAGGGGACATGAGAATAAAGGTTCCTAGTTATAATTGTTTTGGTAAAGGCTTTAACTTTTTCACCTATTTTTTTCCCCGTATATTTCTGAGTTTATGGGTCTTTCGTGTCTTTTGCTGCTCCAAACCCTTGAGCTTCATTGTTCTCACCACAATATACGAAAGCAAATGGGGTGGGTGGTGTGACCCAACTCGGGGCTTTCAAATGTATTTTTCACATGTTGAGTAAAATCTACTCTAATTTTAAGGGTAGCAATACATAGTCTCAAGCACAGAAAGTTTGAAAATCCTCCCCCCACAGCCTCACTGATCTCTATGTCTGCCTTCCAGTACTTTTAATATACACCTGAAGGTCCCAGGTGTAGTTGTCTGGCCTGGCCTTGGAGTACAGTGACTGGTGACAAAGCTTCTCTATTAGGGAAATAAATAGATAGTGTGAAAGGCCAAGGAATGACACACATATCTTGCAAAACAACAACTTGGCATTTTTCTAATTGTTTTCTTACAGAAAAGTTGTTTTTTCCCCCTTAACCTATAGTCTTTGCAGGCCTTCTATTTCCTCTTTTGAATTCCCTATTTCTATTCTTTTGTTCTATGTCTTTGAGGAGGTGCGGCCCTTTCTTTATGCTTAGGACTAAGACTTCTCTCAATCACCCTTTCTTCCCAACTCCCTCCTATTAAAACCTGAAGCTTCCTGGTTTTTTTTTTTCTCCTCTCCCCACTTTTTAGTAGGATAACTGGTTTGATTTCTATGATTTTTTTTGCTATTAGCACAGAGTATGAAATAAGAAAGATTAACAGAGTAAAAATGTTAATATGATGAAAATGTTCCAAAAATAAATCTCAAAACCAAGATGGGGAGGCTGCTCCTATTAAAATAATCTTTTAATTCATTCCAGCATTGAAATGCTTTCCCTAAGTCAAAGGGTCACTCTATTAAAATCTAGGTAGAGCAATACTCGAGATTGAGATGGATGGGTGAGTCCTTCAAGATGCTTTGCTCCACTCGTCCTGTTAAAAGAGCTACATAATGGACAGTCTTGTGCAAAGCTCTCTGGTACAGCCGTGGACAGAGAAGCAATCAGAGAAAGACCTGGGTTTACAACCCAACTGTGATGCTCACTGCCTGTATAATTAATTGCTGGAATGCCATTCAAAATGAGTGCATAAATGGATGGTATAATACTTATTACAGCAGTGATTTGAGAATATACAGCAGCACATGCAAAACACTAGCAGAGAGTTAATATCTGATATGTAATAAAAATAGAGCAGCTCCAGGTTTCATAAGGGAGGCAAGACTTGAATCAGACCTCCCGGGAGAATTGCTGGAGTCCAGTACACCAGTGGGAAGGCATCCAGCTGCTGGAACATCAGTCAGGCTAAAGGCAAAGAACGGAGAGTGGGTGTGACCTGACAGGCGGTGGGAGACCCGGTATGGGTGATCGGGTGATCCTTGTGGAAGGAAATAATGTCATCAAGATAAAAGGACTTTACACACCAGTCAGTGGCTTTCCGGTTGAAAGTGGGAGGTTGCAGGTTGCAGGGTTTCATCATACTGACCCATTGCCTTCACAGAGTGCTCATTCAGTCACATTGGACTGATTTTGCAATTGCAATCCTTGCAGGTGGAACCTTTCCAGGACCCTGGTCCTCCTCCTTCCTGGCTCCACCCCTGTTTTTCCTTTCTTCTCATCCCATGCCTTCCTGTTGCTCATCTCCTGACCTGCCAGACTGGGACATGCACAGTTGTGGTTTTAATTTAGATGATGTCATAAGTGATTCAGTCTCTCACCAATATATATTAGATGACTTATTGGAGACCCACTGTCACACAGTTTTCCCTGTTGTCCCTCTTAAACCTGAACCAATCAGATGTCCTCTACTTCTCCTTAACCCTTGTCAAGATGCCTCAAAAGTCACCCCTGGATGAGCCTAGAGGACTAAAATGTTTCCAATAGATTCAACAGCCCCCAGAATTTCAACTGATTTTGGGTTAGACTATTTATCTCTCTGTAGTGACAATATTTGTGTATGTGAATCAAGTTGGCTTGATTGTCCTGTGGTTAATAATTAGGTAAAACTCTTTTTTTCCAGATTTTTTTAAAATTTAAATTAGAAACAAGCTTGTTTTACCTATCAATCCCAGTTCCCTCTCCCTCCCCTCCTCCCCTGCCCCCCACTAACCCCCTATCCCATCCCCTCTCTGCTCCCCAGGGAGGGTGAGGCCTTCCATGGGGGAATCTTCGAAGTCTGTCCTATTAAAAGTCTTAAAATGTTAATTGTCACATACCTGATGCAGGGGCAACATAATATATATCTGGTCACATTTTGAGAAACTAGAATCTTGTTTTCTTTTTTCAAAGTCCTGAAACCCGAACATCTATGGCTCCATCAGGGGGCTGATACTGTACGCTCTGCACGGCCATAGAACTGAGAGTTGTTCAAGACTGTCATGGTGTTTTCTATGCCTTTGCCACCTCTGAGACTCACATCTGCTTTCTCCATCTGTCCGGTTGTTCTCTACAATCCCTGCCCAGGTGGGAGCTTGCAAGCTGCTATATCTGAAAACTCGGTATCTGGTAATCACTTCCCCGAGCCTACACTCAAAGACATCCTCCTACAGATTTCCTTGGGACTTAAGTACATCCACAACTTTGGCATGGTACATATGGACATCAAACCCAGTTAGTATTTTTTTCTGCCTTTCATATTTTGCCTTTTATATACCACCAAGGAAATGTGCACCTGTGTACCTTCAATCTCAAAGATATTGTCTAGAAGAATTACTTCCGTCCATTCATTTCCCATAACAAAGTCAGTCAAGTATATTTAATCATTTTCTCCTTGCATCAGGGGACACAAGGGGAAAAGACACTCTCGTGTAGAGAAAACTGTAAAACTAGATATTTAATTTACCACATAGAAAACTGAGAGTGGCTGGGCATTGGTGGCGCAAGCCTTTAATCCCAGCACTCGGAAGGCAGAGGCAGGCGGATCTCTGTGAGTTCGAGGCCAGCCTGGTCTCCAGAGGAGTGCCAGGATAGGCTCCAAAGCTACACAGAGAAACCCTGTCTCGGGAAAAAAAAGAAAGAAAGAAACAAAAAAAGAAAACTGAGAGTGTGTCAGCTGCATTCTGATGGTGTTTTTAAGTAGTACTGTATTTTCTCTAAGTCGGCCCTGATCAGAGTGACAGAATGAATGTGTTTATCACTTTTCAGTGTGATACCTAAGGAGAAGTTATTATTTTGTGGGTTTTACTTATTTTGAGACAGCATGTGACCGCATGTGACCGTGCTCTTCAGAGGATGGGGACTATATGAGGTCAGTTCAACTTAAAGTGGTGTTGTCCATCACTGGCTGTTCTGATGAGATGTAAGAGCTTTCACAGAGCTGGGCATGTGCACTCGGGAGGCAGATGGAGGCTGATCTCTGTGTGTCCAAGATCAACCTGTTCTACATAATGAGTTCCGGACTACCCAGAGCTATGCAGTGAGGCAGAGCTGGGAGACAGGTAGTTACATAAGCTCACAGAAAGATTACATAGGGAAAACTAAAATTCAAAGATTAGTCATCACTCTACAACCGCGCCGGAGAAGGGAAGCTGACGGTCGGGGCTATGAAAGGCTCTTTGTGGGGTGGGGGCTCAGAAATCATTACGTCTGCTCTGCTTTTTCAGGTAACATCTTCATCTGTCGTAAGATGCAGAGTGACTCTGCTGTGTGCTCGGAAGAGGCTGAAAGTGAGGATGACTGGTTTCTCTCTGCCAGTGTGACGTATAAAATTGGTGAGTCTGCTTCTATCCCATCAGCATATTATTCTGTAAACAGGCTGATGGCTACATTTATTCCAGCTCCAGAAAAGTCATATTCATTTTTTATGTTTGAATACATTCATTTTCTTTTTTAAGTAATTTTTTAATTTAAATTAGAAACAAGCTTTTTTTTTTTTTTCAAATGGCATAAGGCTTTATCGTTGTTTAACGAGCTAACCCCATGTTAGCTCGGGTCTTTCACCCACCCACCATGGCAGATGGCTAGCAAAGACAGCTCGAAGGGGCTGCATCGAGATCTGAAACAAGCTTGTTTTACATGTCAATCCCAGTTTCCTCTCCCTCCCCTCCTCCCCTGCCCCCCAATAGTCCCCCATCCCATCCCCTTTCTGCTCCCCAGGGCGGGTGAGGCCTTCCATGGGGATATGTCATATAATTTGGAGAAGGGCCTAGGCCCTCCCCTGTAGGGGACACCCTAACCATGCCTGCCTAGGGGCTGGGTACAGGTAAAGTCCATTTGTGTACTAGGGATAAATACTGATCCACTACCAGAGGCCCCATAGATCAACCAGACCTCCAAACTGACATCCTCGTTCAGGGGTCTGGAACAGAAAGTCATATTCTTTAAAACATCCTCTCTTTCTTTGTTAAAAGGTGACCTGGGCCATGTGACATCTATCAACAATCCGAAAGTGGAAGAAGGAGATATTCGCTTCCTGGCTAAGGAGATCTTGCAAGAGGTATAAATTAAGGAAATGGGAGGGGAACTCTTTGCTTCCCATTTCTTTTTTGACACAGAATCTTGCTATGTTGTTCAGTGGCTGCTGCAAAATTGTGGCCTTCCAGCCTTAGCTTCCCAAGTAGGTGGGACTACAGATGTGCAATACATTTTATAATTCATTCAACTTTTTGACTCTCGGATGAAGGCTCATAGTGCCCCAAATAAAGAGTATATATTTGTAATTCAAACTTATAAAGTCTCTTTTCCATTCAGAATAGAGTATTTCTATTCCAAATACAGTAACGAAATTCCTCCGAAGCATAGGAATGTTATTTCCTATCAACAATGAATCAATATTTACATAGCTCCTCCTAAGGGTCCCTCTCGGTTTCTAGTATTTAGCCTAGTGGGTTGCATAGGAGAAAGGAACCACTCTCTTCATGGTCGTCTTGTCTGTGTTGCTATCCTCTTGATAACCCACCAGCTCTGATCACTAAAATGACGTTAGTTGTTGCCCATCTTCCAGGGTTCCTGATGAGTCTAACCTAGCAAGACTATAGACTTCCTTCTGGGTAATACTTGGAGGGGGGAGGTCTTTTCTTGTGATCAGCTAATTAAGCCTCAGTGGACCTGACAGAGCAAAATGATGCTGAGATTCTACCCTGGGCTTTCAGAGCACAGCAATATCACTAAGGTTTGTTTATGTTCCCTTTAGCTTCTTGGTATAAACCAGCAGCTACAGTACATATAACTATGCCGTGGCATTGAGAACTTACCGGTAATCAGACCTCTGCCAATCACTCACTCTACTTGGCAGACTAACTGGTCTTCCTGTCTTCTGTTTTGTAGAATTATCAACATCTTCCCAAAGCAGACATATTTGCCTTGGGGTTAACAATGGCAATGGCTGCAGGAGCAGAGTCGTTACCCATCAATGGTGACAGATGGCATCATATCCGTGAGGGGAACTTTCCAGACATTCTCCAGGAGCTCTCTGATGACTTTTATGGTCTACTCAAGGTGACACCTCCTGTGAGATGAAACATCTATATTTTAAAAGTGATGACAAGTGTGGTGGTGGTAGAGCCACGGTTAGGTAAATATAAATTTGGTTAGGGCCGTGTGAACAGAAGGAGGAAGTTCAGATAAGACAGGACAGACTGAGATGTCTTCTGGAAACTTAACCTCTACAATACCCTCATGTGGACACTTTTTTTTTGTTTGTTTTTTTTTGGTTTTTTGAGACAGGGTTTCTCTGTGTAGCTTTGGAGCCTATCCTGGCACTCGCTCTGGAGACCAGGCTGGCCTCGAACTCACAGAGATACACCTGCCTCTGCCTCCCGAGTGCTGGGATTAAAGGCGTGCACCACCAACACCCGGCTGTGTGGACGCTTTTTATTTGTTCTTCCTAGTAACCCCATAGAGCGGCAGGTGCCACACCTTTCTGCAACAGAAGAAACTCGGGCTCAGAGGGGCTCTTGTATTCAGTTAATAATTGATAATTCCAAATTTAAACTGCATCTTTCCCTCCAAAATCAGCTTATGCACTGTTTGTCAATGACCAGTGATAGCAATTTTTTCTAAAAGAATCACTTCGTGAGTATCTTTAAAAGTATTAGCCACTTTTTGATAATTGACAATACCACTTATTTGAGCTACTGGGGAAAAGGCATAACGCCAATTCAAATATTTGCCATTTTTTCAAAGCATGCATAAGGATAACAAAGGGGGGTGTTATATCGAAACAAAGACAGCTACAAAAACAAAAACAAACATCACCAGCAACAGACTCCGACAGCTGTATACTACCAACAAGTTTAGAGTCATCACCCCCAAATCATGAATTAGAAAAAAAAGGTTGGTTAGGGTCCCTAATATTGCTTTAGAAATACCTACTTCCACTGGGCCGTGGTGGCACACGCCTTTAATCCCAGCACTTGGGAGGCAGAGGCAGGTGGATCTCTGTGAGTTCAAGATCAATCTGGTCTACAAAGAGCTAGTTCCAGGACAACCTCCAAATCCACAGAGAAACCCTGTCTCAAAAAAAAAAAATCTACTTCCTTGAACATTAGAATTCCATTTTTAACCTACAATTGTAGTTACCAATTCTCCCTTCTTATTTTCATTTTTCTCTCATAAAAAGAGGTTGCACATATATATGTAAATGAATCTTAGATCCATTCATATTTATTGGGTGCCTAAATGCTAGCCCTGTGCTTTGTGTACTGTATGATTCATGATAATTGACTTAACCCTCACAACATTCCCAGAGAGAACAGTATTATCCTGGATTTCAGATAAAAGAACTGTAGAACTGTAGTAACATCTATAGAGTAAATGGTGGTGCTTGCTCTGAACTTGGAGCCCAAATGGAATGCCATGGAAAGTTCAGTTTATCTGTCATCCTGGGACACCAGCAACACATAACATACATAGAGATTGCTGATATACGAACCACTTGGTAATGTCGTAGTATTTAAGTCATCGTAGATCTCCTCTGCCTTGAGCTCAGTATTTTAGAGTCAGGAGTACAATGTGGTAGAAAGTAAATTGAACTCAGTTGGGTCAACTTGGAACTGAGTTGGGTGAACTGGGTTTTGATCTCGGTATCTCCTGTAACTTGGAGTATAGCACCAGTGTTTCCCTTTATAATTAAAAATGTTATACTGTTGCTGGTATTTTCTTGTCCCACCTGGTCCCGCCACCGCTTCAGCCCCAAATAAACACACAAAGACTTTTATTAATTATTAAGCTGTTGGCCAATGGTTATGGCTTCTTACTGGCTAGCTCTGTCTTAATTATTAACCCATAACTACTAATCTATATATTTCTACCTGGCCTTACCTTTTTTTATTAATTTATTTTTTACATTCCAATCCAAGTTCCCCCACTCCCTCCACTGCCCCCTCCTCCCATCTGCTTCATGAAGATGGGGAGAGGGTAAGGCCTCCTACATGGCCTTATCTTACCAGAGGACACCTGGGGTGTCCTATTCTCCTGGTCTCTCCATGGCGTCCTTTTAACAACATTAGACTAACAAATCAACAAACCAGCTAGCTCCCAAACATGACAATTAAATCCAAGTCCTAAGTACAGACAAATGATGTTCCCACACATAGGTGATTCTTCTGTTCAAGGTGGAACCAAGTTTTCACTGAGGAAAAGCAGTTTCACAACACCCAGCAGTGTATGTTGAACTGAAGTTGCCACTATTGACACTTCTGTTTCCTCCTGTGGTCCTGAATCTGTCTTCAGAGCATGATCCACCCTGATCCACAGAAGAGGCCTTCCGCAGCAGCTCTGGCCAGAAGTCGAATTATTCGGCCCTTCCTGGAGAAGACAGATGAACTCCAGGAGCAACTGAACTTGGAGAAGTCCAAGACAGCCACTCTGGAAAGGTGAAGTTGGTTGTTGCAGTCAATAAAGGGTCCATTTGAACAACTCACAGAGGTCTGACTGGACTAGTGTGTCTCGGTGGATTCAAGTCTATGCACATTCTACAACATCAGACGTAGGCTATCCCACAGGAAGCCTGGCAGTGTTCTTTCTATGTGTTAGGGCTTGGGACTCTGCAGCTTGAGAGGATTCCAGGTACTGCAAAGGACGATACTTTTTTTTTTTTTTTGAGCAAAGAAGACAATCTGATCTCTGGTTGATATCTTCATTCATTAATTTATTCCTTCATCAAATGAATGGGAATTAGTTTGGATGTGGTTGTAAAAGGCATATGAATTTTAAGGGATTCTTAGTTGATTATTGCACCAGAGGTGCACTATTTAAAAAAAGAAGAAGAAAGAGAAATATGGTCCTTGCTTGAAATTTGATTAGAATTCCAACTTTGTTTAGCTACAAAGTCCATCTTGGAAGGATTAGCTTGAAAACTTGAATGGTCACTACTAAACACATGTTTTGGTTTTGAGCTGCAGAGACTCTCAGCCTTTAGTTGGATAATTAGTTATTTCCAACAAACCACTTCATATTTTTGCTTTTTTTGAGTTTCATTGTTTCAGGTAGTAAACTACAAAATACCCATATATGTTTGTTGTTCAGAAGAAGGCAAATGTCTTGAAGGTGTGTGTACATATTCTGTGAAGCTAAGCTGGAGGTACAAGTGACTATCATCATTTAACATAAATGACCATAGAAATCATAGATGGTGAAAATGCCATCTTGAAACTGTCTAGAACAGTGTTCTCAACCTTCTTAATACTTGCCACCCTTTAATAAAGTTCCTCATGTGGTGGTGACCACCAATCATAAAATTATTTTCATTGCTACTTCATAACTGTGATTTTTGTTACTTTTATGAATAGTAATTGAATATCTGTGTTTTCTGATGGCCTTAGGTGACCCCTGTGAAAGAGTCATTTGACTCCCAAAGGGGTCTTGTCCCATGGGGTTGAGGACTGCTGGTCTAGACCAAGGGGTGGTAAACTTGCTCTGTACAGAACTAGATTTTAAATGGCTCATGCTTTGTAGCAAGTATGATTTCCTCTGCAATGATTCAACCCTGTCATTGTTTAGTGAAAACAATCACTGAATGTATAATATATATATATATATATATATATATATATATATATATATATTAGATAAAAATGATTAACTGTGTTTCAATGAAATCTGTGGTTTGTTGCCTTCACAGTTCTTATATTTTGCCTAAAAGTTGTTCACTTAGAATTTTAATTTTAAAGGTGACTTATGAATGTGTCAACCTTTTTAATGACAGTAAGAATCAGAACAGCTGGGCAGTGGTGGCGCATGCCTTTAATCCCAGCACTTGGGAGGCAGAGACAGGTGGATCTCTGTGAGTTCAAGGCCAGCCTGGTCTACAAGAGCTAGTTCCAGGACAGCCTCCAAAGCTACAGAGAAACCCTGTCTCGAAAAACCAAAAAAAAAAAAAAAAATCATTAGAACTGATTTGTCTATTCTTCATACAGCTTGGGCCTGATTTTGTAAAACTGAAATAAAAAGAGATGAGCTGTGATCATGAATACTACCTCTAACCAGGGAAGAATTTACCCATGCCTGTCCCCTTTGATTGCAGGGACCTGATGAAAGCTAAGCAAATCCAGATCCCTCAGAGAGACACCTACCATAGTGATCCTGGGACCCCTGAGGCCTTTGAAGACTCAAACACATGACACCTGGTGGGAGGAATGAGTGAAGCGTCCTAAGGATTCACCTGTGTGCAATTTTCCTTATAAGCACTCACTTGTCACCAGCCAGCCTTTTGCCACACAGCCTTCAGAAGACTCCCAGGGTGCAGCAATGGACCAGCTTGAATGCACAGAGATTTCAAAAGCCATGCGGTGTAGCATCTAGAGAAAGTTCACAAAACCTCTAGGGTTTCTTACAATGATCTCACATCGTCCCTGCTGTTGTTTTTCTAGTGCTGTTTGTGAAGGACTTCTGATGAGTAATTAGAAAACATGCCTCATAATTGAAAGAGGAACACAGACGCACTCTTTTGGCCTATGAATGAAGAAGATGTCATGACTTATTCTTTACTGAGATCCAGGGAACTTTCTCTGTATGCAGAAAGGGATAAAATATGCTTTAAGTGCCAGCTCACAAGAGACCATTGCCTATATCCCAGCCGTGCTTCCCAAGTTGTAGCTACTCCTGCGACTGCCAGCCCCTTTGAGCAGGGAGTCTGCCTAATATAGTTTCTGCATGGGTGCAATCTCTTATCTGATTTTGTATTACTAAATAAAAGGCTATCCTTATGTGAAACAATTAGAAGTAAGACTACAATGTGGACAATTTCTGAGCTGCTTATTAACTTCTGAAACAAAATCAGTAGAGGCAGAGGGCCCAAGGGAAGTTTGATGTACCTGCTCCCATGTGTTCTAGCCCACTGGTAACTGTTCCTCACCTGCTCCCATGTGTTCTAGCCCACTGGTAACTGTTCCTCACATCCTAGTCTCTTGTGGCTGTTCCCTGTGTTCTAGTCTTCTGTGGCTGACTCCTGTTGCTTTTGAGTTTTTTAACATCATCACCAGGTTCTCTTGATTTTTTTAAAGTAGAATTTGTCTTTGCTTTCTGTGCTTTTAATGTATTTTAATCCAAATCTTTCTCTCAGTGTGCATTTAGAGAAACAGGACATTTGTGAATAAAGATTTTTATTTTGTCCAAAGACAGACCTGGGTAAAGCATTCTTCTTTGTAACATGTTCACAAAGAATGTGAACTTTTAGAACTTCTTACAGTTAAGAGAAAATGTAGGTGGGTAGTAACACGTGTTTGAGTCAACATCAACATGAACCCAACTGCATAGGTACAGAATCAATAATGACTATAAGATATTGGCCATAAATATATTCTCTTTTTTGCAATATTAATGAAGGCAACCTGTTAAAAATAAAATTAAAATTAAGAAAATATCCTGACTGATGGCAAAACATTTCTAAAGTTGTTTTCTGAAAGCCTTAAAATGCATGCTACTTTAATTAGCTCATGATGAAGGACCAGAATCATTTCACAGTAATTAGGGGGCTTTGATCTAAAAGTAAGAACTTGGTTAGACTTTCCAAAGGTTTTTGTTGTCGTTGTTCATAATTTGTACCAACTTCTGGTTTCTAACACTGTTCATGGAAAAGTAGTGCCACCCATGACTAAAACTTCTAAATGACATTGCAGCAAATTATAGATTCTTGTATCTCTGATGATTATTGCGTGCCTCGTGTGCTCAAAGATGATCCATAGTTCAGAAGGCTAAGATGTCTTTATTCAGATAAACCCCAGCCCAAACGCAAGCCAGAGGGTGCCAGGGGCAGCAAGGCAGCCAGGCCAGAGAGAGGGGCCAGAAAGAAGGGGCTATTCACATGTGCGAGGTCCCTTAAGAATCATTCCGGAGTCACCTTAGACCTCTCCTGACCACGCCCTCACGGGCATGTCTGGCACACCTGTTGAGGCTACTAGGAGGAGGGGCTACAGTGTCTCCCTACATATCTCTAACTTTTTTTTTTTAGTTTACTTAATTTCTAAAAGTTCCTCAACATTTTGGTGTGTTTTGAATTTTCCTGAACTCATATTTCCATTCATATTTTTTCATTCCATCCTGAGACTTGAGCCTTTGTCAAGCTTGTGCTTGTTTTAAGGTACACTGTACACTGTATATTCATATCCAGTTCTTTGCATTCTGGGAGCTTTTCAATGGGGTACAACTGCACATACAATACATTTTTTGTCTAAAGAAAAAAATAATAAATGAAGGAGCAGCACTTGCAACTTTTTCCAGCCAACCATCTAAAGCGAATGTGTTGGTTCCTTTCTGAGTGGAAAACAATGCTCACCCAAGACTCCCATTTTAAGAGTTCACTGGAGTACCCTCAATTTGCAGGGAAATCCCTATATTTTTCTTTAAACAACCCTCTGTACACTCTTCACATAGAACAAAGTGTGTGCAACCTGAAAAAAAGAGTTAAGATTTAGTCCAAGTCAGGCACCATTAAAACAAAGCTTGCAAGATGGGTAGGGAATTTCACTGTGGAGGCAAAGGTGATTTAATTTTTCCTCTGCCTTGTCCACAAAGCAGAAACAAGATTTTAAAGAGGGAACCATTGGAGGGCATTGAAGTAATGTGGGTTGTGTTACTATCCATAGCAGTGCAAGGTTCTAATACAGTAAGTACTTCATTATTTCAGGAAATCAACTTTGTAATGGTATAAATACAGAGGTCAAACATCTATAAACATATCACTAGTCAGTCAGACTTGAGAGCAGGTTAAAATGTAAGCTGAAAACTGTTAAATAGCTCAGAATTTTTTTTAAATGGCAAATGTTTTAGTTAGGGTTTCTATTGCTGGGGAGAGACACCATAACCATTGCAACTCTAATAAAAGAAAGACATTTAATTGTGGTGTCTTATATTTTCAGAAGTTTAGCCCATTATCACCATGGTGTGACGCCAGCAGACATGGTGCTGGAGAAGTGGCCAAGTGTCCTACATCCTGACTTGCAGGCAACAGGAAGTGGTCTGTATCTTGAGCATAGGAGACCTCAAGGCCCGTCCTCACAGTGACATACTTCCTCCAACAAGGCCATACCTCTTAATAGTGCCACTCCCTTTGGGGGCCATTTTCTTCAAACCACCACAACAAGATTGCACCTGGGGAGGCAATGATCTGGAGGTCTCTTCCTTCTCTCATTGGACAAGGACAAAAAACTGGGCATAGAGTATGGAGCCCCACATCCAGGCTGCCTTGGCTTCTTTAACCCTGTAGGACTCAATACATGTGTTACCCCACTAGGGACCCGATTAGGGTAAACAATACAGAGTTTCAAGGAGTGGAAGAAATTCAGCAATCAAGATAAAACGATGTCTCAATTCAGTATTTTGTTAACGTTAAAATTAAAATATTTACTATGAACACAACATCAAAGACAAGATCAAATAAGCTTAAATTAATTGAAATTATTCAAGACTGTCACTTGGTGGTGGATGCGGTGGCATATAGTGACATCTCGTCTTACCAGTGAAGTTGTAGTGGTGGCCACACCATTTGGGCGTGGTTTCAGGTGCACAGGTGACCCATTATAAAGTAGAGGAGGGGCTAGCTCACACTCGCTTGGGTTGTGGAGAGCAGAGACTGCATCTTCTGTAGCAGGAAGACCTCGGCGATTATTTACTCCAATCTATGTAAGTGCTTCCCTAGTAAATACCTATTTATCATTTATCTTGGGTCTGGTGGACTCATTTAAACCCTGCCTTCAGTGGCGCCCGCTTTTAATCACAGCACTAGGGAGGCAGAGACTGGGAGATCTCTGTGAGTTAGAGGACAGCCTGGTCTGGTCTAGATAGTGAGTTTCAGGCCAGTCAGGGCTACACATCAACACCCCTTCTTTTGCCTGTCTGCCTTCCTTCCTTCCTTCCTTCCTTCCTTCCTTCCTTCTTCCCTTTTCTTCTTTTGCCACTCCATCTAGAATTATTGCCAGAATTGTGGAATTGAAACACAAAATACAAACAAGTACATCCTGAAAATACCAATCGGTTTCTATGAAAGCTTATAAGTAAAATCTTAATTACACGTTGCTTTAAAGTAAAACAACGCTGTGAGTTTTAATACTACTTTAAAATGTTTTGATATTTCATCAACTTTTAGTTGTTTTTTTCTTTTTAAGAAAAGTAACTAAAACACGAAATATAAGGGGCCCGCTTTCCTTGTGCCTCAGGCACAGTTCGGGAACTGTATTAATAACAATGTTAAATATTTTGCTCCTTATGTATTTTTTAATTAATTTCCCTTAGCATATTAATATATCCAGATCATCTAGGGTTTTTTGTTTGTTTTGTGTTTAGAGACAGAGTTTCTCTGTGTAGCCCTGGCTGTCCTGGAACTCTCTCTGTAGACCAGGTTGGCTGATCACAGAGATCAGCCTGCCTCTGCCTCCCTAGTGCTGGGATTAAGGGCGTGCGCCACCAAGCCCAGCCTGATTACCTAGTTTTTTGATTGCTCTTCCAATTTTACCATTTTAGCCCCTTTGTCTCAATTCTCCATTTTTTTTTTTAACTTGGGTCGGCTTTAGCTACTCCAAGGCTTGAACTATGTTTTATTTATTTCACTCATCTTGCTCCCTCCCTCATGCAATGATTTCAAGGCAGGGCTGGGAATCTAGCTCAGGGTAAGGGCCTGGCTGGGCACCGCTCTGCCCAACAACCAGCAGAAAGAAAAGAAGAAGAAACTGTTATCCTCACCTCCAATCCACGGTCTGCTAAAGTTCCCTTTAAAATTGCAAGTTTCCTAATTGGTTCCCTTATTCCAAACCCCCGAGGGTGGGTGGAGCTCAATCAGGGATAAAAAGTTCCCGGCCCTTCTCAGCGGCGGGGGGGCGTTTCCCTCACCATCAGCCGGCAGCACTTCCACAGCGGACACCATCGGCTTCCTGTTTTCCCTCGCCTATCGCGAGCTCTGCGGGCTCTGCTCGCCGGAAGCGAGCCTGGAGCGGAGCAGCGGTCGGCCGCTGCGCGTCAGGTGAGGGAAGGGTGACGGGGGAAGCCGAGCCTTCGCCCCCAGTGCTCGTTCTCGTGCGGGAGGGCCGGGCTCCAGGCCTCCCAGCGGCTCCCGTGTCGCCTGCAGCGAGATCCCCTCCTGTTTGCTGCAGACGGTTCGGGTTTAGCAGAACTGAGCACGTTAGGAAACTTCTCTTTAAGAGAAATTGTGTTTTAAGTTTTAGCAGACGGTGCATGGGAAGTGAGAGCAACAGGTTTTCTTACCCCTCCCTTGTTGCTTATTGGGACCGAGCAGTTAGTTTGAGATTCCCCAAGCCGCAGAGTTTGTTTTGTCGTCTTCTGTTTTTGTTTTTAGAAGGAAAGAGGGGATACCCAAATGTGTAGAGATGGGGCTGCAAATTGGGTGCGCGTGAAGTGAAATGCATTTGGGAGTCTAGGACCAGTGAACTTGCGTTCTTGAGGTGTACGGTAGTGTTGGACTTATCTTTTCTCTCTCTCTTTTCTCTTCTTCAGGATAGATTGTAAGAAAAACCGAAGTCATGTTTCGAAGACCTGTGTTACAGGTAGTCATTTTTCTACATTAGTAAGTGCTTGGCTGTGTTTTCATCGTCTGTGCTCATTGGGTTTCTTTCTGCTTTTGGGTGCATAGCAAAACACGCTTAAGCCCACCCATCATCTTGTATGTGTTGATTTGATGGGAAAGGTCAGGATGTTTTTTTTTTTTTTTTTTTTTTGTGGTGCTCATAATGTTTACTGAATCAAAAAAGGACTTTAAAATGTATTCACACATACAGTATGACGCATTAATGTTTGTTACTTGTGTTTAGATCAGTATATGCGTTTAGTTTTCTTTTTTTGAGATAGCATCTCATACACCTCAGGCTATCTTGAGACTCACTGTTAAGCTGAGGATGACCAAGAACTTCTGATCCTCCTCCCTCTCTCTACTTTCCTAGTGCTGGTAATTGAGGCATGCACCACTGTAACTGGCGTCTGTCATTTTTCCATATGGCTCTGGTGCCTTTTCTGACCTTCTGTCTCCTGTGCTCCCTACTCTCACCAGTCACAAATCCATTCTGCAAACTAGTTGGTTGTCCTCTGCTCTGGCCAGTCTTAAACAGACCTGCTTTTTCCTCATTGTGGCACTGGGTACCAGGTTTGTAAATTCTAATGTAAAATCTTGGTTAAGACTAACAAGTCAAGTTCTTATAAAAACCTGCTGTCATCTCCATCGTACTCTCAAGTTGGTCTGGCCTCAGGTCCTACTTTAGTCTACACATGCTTTTAGCCAAACTCGAAGTAAAAGTTTGCACTTTGAGAGTATTGAAGTTAAACAACCCTTTCCCTCTTTCTGCTTTTCTACTAGGTGGTGACGCGAGCGTGCGTGTGTGCGTGCCTGTGCCTAACATGAGGCATATTGTTGTTAAGTAACACATAATGTGATCCCGCTCTTCTGATCCCGAAGATTAATATTTCCTGTTATTATGACATAGGAACTGATTGGCAGATTGATCCTGGATTTGTCGAAACATCTTATTCTTGTATCTGCCCTGAGTGGTAGTGTTATATAACTAAGGTCACTCCAGGAATGGATGTTTGTTCCAGTGGCGTGGAGCGAGCAGGCCCTTATTAAAAGACAGGGAAGGAAACAGGTCCCCAACAGGGACTTTTTGAAAAGCTAGGTTGAGAAATGGTAGTGTGGTAACCTGGCACCTCAGAGCTGCAGCCCTGTCTCTGTCCTTATTTGCATGGAGAGATTACATAAGGAAATTACTATGGACTCAGCAGCCCTCACAGGCCTGAGCACAACCAGTTGAGATGGCCCTTCTTAGGTGGTGGTAGCAATCATATTGCCAAACTGCCTTCAAAGTGGCTTCACTAACAGAGCGAGAACTTCAAAATGGGTGGCATCACCCTCAGCCCACTGATTGAAGCCTTAAGTGGCTGGGAGCCCAGTTAACTGTCTAGCTAGCCAGCTGCTTCCTGCAGTGTCCTGAATAAATTTATTTTCTTTCTGTTGTTGTTGTTTTAGATGACAATTCTTTTGCTTGCCAACCCCTTTCTCTCCTGTTTGACAGATCCACTAAGGAAATGTTTCTCTCTTAGACGGGTCTAGCTCTCTGAACTCGAGTGTAGAGATGTGAATTCTTCTTACCTCTATGGTAACTGTAGAACAGAATGTCTTTAAGATAGCATCAGGGGGCAAGTTGGAAAAACAACCTTGGTGTTGGACAGCCCTGAGTTCTAAGTCAAAAATTACCACTTAATTCCTAGTCTCCCGGACAAGTGGTGTACTCTCTGAGCTTAATGTTCCTTGGTGCTAAGGTAGGGATGATATGACATGGTGTCTGTAGTTAGTTTAGGATTAAATGCTAATCGGTAATTCTTTTAGTATGTTAAGTGGTGCTGTTTTGGGCTGTGAATATTCTTTTTCAGTAATTGGAACTTCATAGCCATGCCTTTGAACCATATTTTTTTTACACTGCTTTTCTTTTTCTTTCCTTTTCATTGTTTTCTTGTTTGTCTTGTTTTTCTTTGTTGTACTGAAAGAATGAAATATTCCACTGGACCAAGGTTACTGTAGAAGCTTTTGACCTTCTGCAGCAGCCTCAGGAAACCAGTGTCATCATCTATGCTCATTTTTAAAGGAAACGCTCTAGAACTGTCATTTGAGATGTCCTAGTCCTTAGGAATTCTGAACACTCAACCAGGGAAGTGATTTTACTGTAGACCTTGTAAGTTTTGTCCACAGTGCCTATTTTGAGATCAGAAAGATCTTGTATTTGTACAGCAAATACAAGGGATAAATTGTTTTGTTACCATTTAACCAATTTCTCATTGTCTATGTTTGAGAGTGAGGCTTAATACGCCGATTGCATTCTAAATATCCTAATACTGGTTTGCTTTTTATGTTTACTTAATTGATTTATGACTTACATTCCTTAGAAAGCACTGGTTTCTTTCTAGTCTTCCTTTCTACCCCATTCTCCTTTGCTGTTCTTTCCTGGAACTTGTAGGGACTGCTGATAATGGTGAATTGGTATGAGTAGGTCTTCTGTTGGTATTTTTCTTTCTTAAAAATTTTAAAGCTGCATCACTTGTTTGTTTTCCTTTAGGTGTTTCATCAGTTTGTAAGACATGAGTCTGAAGTGGCCAGCAGTTTGGTTCTTGAAAGATGTAAGTAATGAATTTCTGCGTCTACAGTGTTATTTACAATACTCTGCTAATGATCTCAAAGTGCTATAGAACCGTGGGCTGTGTTTAACAATGCTACCCATTATACCTTTGGTCATTTCACCCTTGTGCTTCTGTTAGTGAGGACCTAGTATAAGTTCAAATGTCCCCCCTCCTACTGCCACTGTCTGGTATACAGGGTGGGAAGGATACTTTCGCAGCAGGACTGCTTTTTTTTGTTGTTTGTTTTTTGGTTTTTTTGAGACAGGGTTTCTCTGTGGCTTTGGAGGCTGTCCTGGAACTAGCTCTTGTAGAACAGGCTGGCCTCGAACTCCCAGAGATCCGTCTGCCTCCAGGGTGCTGGGATTAAAGGTGTGCACCACCACCATCCAGCTTGAAATACTGCTTTTTGCAATAGAGATCTTAAATCTCAGATTTGTTCCTTTAGCTCAAGATAAAGAGCTTAAAATTTGTTTTGTGGGGCTGTTTTCTCTCTTCTTGTCAATTCTTCCTTTATGGCCCCCTTTAACTTGCTGATGTTGTAGAGCTTGGTTTTTCATAATGCAGAGACTAAAGCTGAAACAGTATTTGTAGTTGTTTATTCTCTGGATTCTATCAATCTCAAGTGTGGGTTTATTCTGTGTGACTGTCCTGGCTGCTTTAATGAATAGACCAGGTGACTTAGCAGTAAATAGCTATTTCTTAGAGCTCTGCAGGCTAGAAAGCCAAGATCTGACTGTCAGTATGGTTGGGTTGCCAGTCGGGTCCCACTTGCTGGTTTGAGGATAGTTGTCCTCTCACTCCTGTTTTTATATGGCAGTGGTGGGGTAGTGGCTCTATTCTGGTCTCTTTCTTCCCTTACAGGGACACTAGCTCCATCATGGAGGCTTTACCTTCATAACCTCATGTAAACCTAATTACCCACATAAGGCTCACCTTCAGACACTGTCACACTGGAAGTTAAAGTGCTAGGGCATCATAAATGTATAGTCACCAGCAGGTGCTCAGCCTCATCTCCTTTCCACTTCGTATTTCAGCTATGAATCGTGTTCAGTTACTTGGGCGAGTAGGTCAGGACCCTGTCATGAGACAGGTGGAAGGAAAAAACCCAGTCACAATATTTTCTCTGGCAACAAATGAGATGTGGCGATCAGGAGACAGTGAAGTATACCAAATGGGTGAGTATAGTATCAAAGTTTACAGTTTTTATTTTATCAGCAGTGAATAGACATGATTACTGCTTATCTAACATTAGAAATGTTACTTTTAGATAAAGTCAGTCTTCACTAGTTCTAGTCTTTCTTTTAGAAATTGTAAGCTTGTTTTTCCAAGACATGTTCTGTGTTGTTGACGTTTTTATTATCTGCTGGCATCTGTAACCCCATTTCCTATATCTGGTGGTTTAGGGGACGTGAGTCAAAAGACAACATGGCACAGAATATCAGTGTTTCGACCAGGCCTCAGAGATGTGGCATACCAGTATGTGAAAAAGGGGTAAGTTGATGAAAGGATCTTTTGGATTGAGTGTCTGAAAGAATTGACAGCAAGTGTTCTCTTGTCTGCCTTTTCCCTAAGTACTGACATTTAATGTATTTACTCCTTAATACGATGTTCATGGAAAGTCTGTGGTTTTAGCCTGCTGACATGTTAGGGAAAACCGCATCTGTATGTAAATAGAAGTAAATGAGGCAGGTTATGGCAAGGCTATGGATGCTACTGCAATATGTATTTTTACAAAGCATCTACAGCCCAAGTCTCTAGGAGAGCCTGTGCCACCGTGACCAGGGATCACGGAGGCCACGTCTGCCCTCTGAGCACCTGGAATATTTGGTGTCTGATGTACTGGGTTATTATGGTAGTATTCACAGTAGTCACTTTATATTTGATAATTTTCTTTAGACTTAGTAATTCCCATTTGGAATGCTTGGGTTGATTATGTATTAGAAATGTCTTTTTTGAATGCATAGAATGATAAAAGCATGTTTTTATGGATGTACTTCTTATGTTTAGAAATGTGCTTATTTGTCGATCCAAAATATTTCATGTGAAATAGTTTCAGCGGTGATTAGAATTTCAATTTTTCAGTAATTCCACACCTTTTCTTCATGTGTGCATGAATATCTAAAGATACACATAAACACACAATATTTGAAGGAAAATGTCAGTAGTCAGTTTCATTTATGATGTAGGAGTGTGTGTGTGTGTGTGTGTGTGTGTGTGTGTGTGTGTGTGTGTGTGTGTGAGAGAGTGGCTGAGATACACAGAGAGACAGAGACAGAGACTGACGAGTAATTGAACTCAGGGCCTTGTATATGCCAGGTGACCTTTGTATCACAGAGTCACATCTCCTGTACTTTCAAAGTTTTAAATTTGAGGTAGGGTCTCACTGAGTTGCCTAGGCGGGCCTGAAACTTCTAATCCTCTGGTTTTAGATTCCTGTATATTGGGTTTTAGGAAGGTACTACCATGCCTGAGTAACACTGTCCTTCTTAACTACTAGATTGTGTATTAATACTCGAGTTAATTTTGAAATTGGAGATATTTTAGCAAAAGTGCCATTGTTTCATCTTCGGCGTGTACTTGTTTGTCCTTTGTCCTGACACAGGATTAGAGTCTTCAGACTAAAGACTGCATTTTCTTTATTGATATCAGGGCTCGCATATTTGTGGAAGGGAAAGTGGACTATGGTGAATACATGGATAAAAATAATGTGAGGCGGCAAGCGACAACAATCATAGCTGGTAAGGTTGTGGGAGACAGCGCTTCCTGTTGTCCTCATTGAAAAGCTCAGCGTGCTGTAAGCGGCTTTAGCGGGGGCTGTCAACATTGCAGGAGGCTCACCAGAGTTTTATAATTTTCATTTTACTGTTTGCCAAGACTGTCCATGTCGTTCATTTATTCTTCTCAGGATCTCTCCATACTCACATATTTAGTTCAGGAGGAACTTTGAGTGACTATAAAATGGAGGAGCTTTGTTTTTCGAGACAGGGTTTCTCTGTGTAGCTTTGGAGCCTATCCTGGCACTTGTTCTGGAGACCAGGCTGGCCTCCAACTCACAGAGATCTGCCTGCCTCTGCCTCCCGAGTTCTGGGATTAAAGGCGTGCGCCACCAATGCCTGGCTAATCTTAGTGTTTTTAAAAAACACTTGGCTTATAAAAGGACAGGCATATGTCAAGGCAGTTGTAAAAATGTGATGTTAGGAATTTGTGACTTATACAAAACTTTGAAATTTAAGGTGCAACAACCTCCATTTGAAATTTAAAAACCTTTGTTGTCTTTAAACAAAATACAAAATATCATGGACTACATAATCATAAAGCTTGAGGAGACTGAAATAGAGTAAGGAGAGTTCAAATTTCTGAAGTAGTTTTAGAGGAATTTTGGAAACAATATAGCTGTTTATACATCCATAATGAAAAACTTTTTTGAATAAAAATTATATGTAGATTAATGAAATTTAGAAATCTAAGTTCTTCATTAGTGTTTCTTGACAAATTTTAAAGTTAAAATGAAAATTAAATGTTGTTAAAACATATCTTAATGACACATTTTTGTTCATAAGTAAGTTGCTAAAATTATGAGTAAAGTCTCAATTTAGTTATTTTGTTTTTATTGATATAAATACCAAGAAACCTGTTTTTGTAGATGGGAGTAAAAAATACTTACTGTAATTGTTAGTGTTAATGAACTACTGAGATATGCTATACTTAAGTGATATCATTAAAGACTGGTGTACGGCATATGTGAGTGAGTGGAGAGAGCAGCAGAGTGAAGCATCTTTGACGTTCCATCAGTTATCACTAATGGCTGAACTGGCTCACATGCCTGCTTTTTCTCTTCAATGATCAGTGGGAAAAAGGATTGTTCTATTTTATTCATAAATTTTAACTGGTATCCATGAAAGAAAAGGTGCTTTTTCCAAAAACAACAACAAAAAACAAAACTATTTCAACTAATGTTGAGATTATTGTAGCATTTTTAAAGACTATATGTCTCTGTATTCAGCTTTTGTTGGATTATTCCAGTTTTCTCAATAATCTAAGCATTCTTTTTCAGATCTCTTTCCCTTGTTCTAGTGTTTATTGGTAAATTATTAGTTGTTTTAAGCAATAATCATATACTTCCCTAATAGTAATCTTTTTTGGAAAATATATTGATTTTGAAAACCAAAAATAGATACTTTAAAAACTCCATTTGTGTTCCACTATATGCCAGATTTGTAGTTCAACTTAATATTATTTGAATGACTGAGTTGTTACGGACTAAGCCAGGTGGAGACAGTTCCCATTGTTCAGTTTCACCTTTTCTTGTCATGGTTGTTACTGTTCTGCTCAAGTACCAGTATAGTTATGACTCATAGTGAAGCTGAATAGCACTTGAACAAAGCACCTATTTGATTTTTTTCTGGCTACATTTAACTTCTTTATTGTGTATTTATATAATCTAAAAAGCAAGTCCTAGTGTCATGTTGTAAGTACTAGAAAATATAGAGATTAATTTAAAACATGTTTACCATCCTACATTGCCTTTTTTTTTTTTTTTTTCAGTCTTATCAGCTCCTCCCCTTCATCCTAATAACTTTTTCCACATAGGGCTCATATTTGAACTTTAAAACAAAAACAAAACTCACCAGTAGATGGCACTCTTGGCTTTTGAGAGTGATTTCCTTCAAGTTATCATCCTGTACAGTCATGAAGTGATTGTTATGAATGACTGTCTTTAGATATTTTTATGCTTAGTGAGGACCTAAAATGTTTGGAGTTATCTAGGAAATGCTACTTAACCTCTTTATCTTTGATTGTTTTAGCTAATTTTCTTTGGAATAATTAGAGCAGTGCGCAATTTTGTTTGTTTTTGGATAAAACTGCTTTACTTTATAAAACTTAAAACCTTTCCTAAAAGTCAATATCTGAAATTCATTCTTAGAATTTAAAATTTGAATTTATTTTCTTAAATGCAAGTAAAGTTGCAGTTGCTAAGTGGCCATGAGCAAACTCTTGTGCTTTGCTGCATGTCTGTAGCATGTGGAATGCCGTCATTGGTCCTCTTGTTTGTAGATGTGCTTCCGTGTCTCAGTTCACCTTGTTTATAGAAAGTTATTGTTGGGGGACCTTAATGGTCTCATCCTATAATGAAGTCTGAATTATTGGACAAACAGCTTCAGTCTGTTGTTGGTATTTATTTGTCTGTTTATCTCACGCCCCTTTTGTGTACTTCTCATGAACACAGCAAAAGTTACTTAATATTTTTGAAATTTTGTAATTCCGCTCAAGGTTGTCTGTGATGGAGGGGAATTATCAAATGAAATGAAGACAGCATTTTGAAAATAACTCTCACACTTTGGTTTCTTTCCAGATAACATTATATTTCTGAGTGACCAGATAAAAGAAAAGTCATAGAACGAACGGATGATTCTTCTTTGATCATTGTTTGGTACAGCCTCCTTCCCAAATCATGTATAGTCTATAGTTTAAAGATAAAGATTAAAAAGTTTTATATAAAACGAGTGTGATATTTTTCCTGACTGACATCTTCTTTTGCGTGTGTGAAATAACCCTCTGTATTTCTGGTCAGTTATGGCACTTACTAATTGCCTATTGTTTTTGGAATGGTTTCACTCTACATGTATACAAAGTCAGGAACTCTCAGGCTCCACCACGTGCATCGTGGCCAAGGCGTCCCTGTGTTTGGAAGGCTGCCTTTCCCGCTTCAGACTTGCACTGTGGTATTTCAGCCGCGTGTTAACCGTGAGCCTCGTATCTCAGCGGTCTGCCCCACAGCTGTAAACACTGATGCTACCACTTATCCATAGTCAGCCTGCAGCTTTTCAGAGGTTGGCTGCTGCTCTGTCTTGCTTTGTTTAAGTGTTTCAAGTTCTTCTCCCTGTCTGTTCCATGCTATCTCCAGCCCAGCCTACATATCTGTTTTTTGTCCTGAGAGTTGGTGCCAACTGTAGCTTAGAATATTTTAGACTGTAAGAAGTTCAGCATTCACGAGCTGTGTTACAGGCACGTGGCTTTCAGAGTGTTTCCTGCATATGTGAACAGCCTTTCTATTCTGACAGGTGCAACTTGTTTGAAGGAAAGAGGAATTCCTTAGCTTTACCCTGTTCTTACCCAGAGGCAGTAGCAGATTGCTGTCCTCACCATCTGCCTATTATGTTTTTCTGCCACTGGGATCATTGGTCAACACACTACATCTTTCTGTGTTCATGTGTTGAACCTGGTGGCACAGTGTACCTGCCTGTTTTGAGTAACAGCCATGTTTTTTCTCAGCGAAGTCATTTTTATAATTTTAAACATTGTGAGGGGTTGTGTGTATTTCTGAGTGAAATTTAAACAAGATGAAAGTGGAAAATAATCTCATGTATAAGAGCGAACTCAAAGCCAAAGCTGTTCCTGAGTCTAGAATGCAGAAATAGAGCAATGTATACGGCAGGATCACCTCCATGAGCCTGAGACTGCCTGCCTTCCCTGTCTTGGAAAGGCTGTGATGTGGAGGCAGCGGCCATCTTGCTCAGGCTGACTCTTGTGCCTTCCTAGTGATTTTGACTGATCCCAAGCCACTCAGATTTGCTGGGACCCACCCCATGTGCTCCCAGGCTGGACCAGGCACAGAGTAGACTAGAAACGTGTAATTCAAGTTTGGCGTCTTTAATTTCCTTTTTGATGTGATCGTATCAGGCCATAAACTTAGAGAAAACTTCCCAATGAGGCTGGTTTGGGATTCTATTCCTAGTTAAATGGAAAAATGAAAGAAAATGTCAGATAGCTTGTGTAGTAGGGGAATACACAAGTTTTAAAAGGTTGGAAAGAGAAGTGGTAAATGCTGTGACTGGGATATTGTGTGTAGTTCTTTACTTCATACGTCCCAAGCATGCTTTTAGTAACATGGGTGTGTATTTTAAAATGAGGGGGGGGGGCGGTTTCAAACCACAGAGAGTCAACCCTGCTCACCCTGTAGCCAGTGCTGCTGCACGTATGGAAGTGATGAAGAAAACTTTCCAAACATCCGTACCCCCAGCCTTCTGCTCTTCAGCATCCTATGTTTGCGAACTTTGTCTCCATTCACCAGTAAATCATGTATGTGGCTCTGAAGCCTGCACTTTAAAGACTGGCCAGTATGACACCCACTGTTTACTTCCAGTACAATTCTCAGACTAGATTAACTCATGCAACCTCAGATGCCAAACATCTTTTTCTGAGGCTGTTGAGGGAGATTGGTTGTTGTTGCCAGCCAGGTTATAGGCTAAGCTTTATATTGAGTAAGAAAAATATCAAGAAGTTTTCCCTTGTTCCCCAAAGAGATCATTTAATTCTTTGAATTAGTTTCTTCTCCTTGGGTTATCTTCTCCTTCTCTCTACTTGGATTATCCCTTTGTCCCTGTCTAGCGCAGGCCAGCACTTCGCCGTGCTGGTTGTTCATTGGCATGGAAATGAGAGTGGGATCATTTTACTGACTTTCTGTCAGGATTTGCATCATATGCTTCAAGACTGGAGGGTAACAGCACGACAAATCACCTCAAGGGAACAGTGATCCCTCAGGTTAGTCAGTTACAGGGAAACCTTTGAGACAGTGACAACAATCACAGTCGTGACTGATACTTCTTACCCGTGGAATGAGTCGAATACTGTGCTGAACACATTTTACAACTGTTTCATGTAACTTGTTTTCCAAGAAAAAAGTGACAGTGTCATTTTGCAGATGGAATTCAGAAACTCAGGTTCTGCTCACCGCTCACTTCCCCTGGCATTCTGTAGCTTCAGTGCTAAACCGTAGTGTCCTGTACAGCATGCTTCCCGATATACAAGGGATAAACAGTAGGTTTCAGTAGGGAGAGACTTAGGAGTGAAGGAAGAATCTCTGCTCTCACTCTCTCGGTGATCCTATAGAAAAACAAGTCACAGCTCCTCCTCTGGCTTCTGACATTTCACTCTCCTTGTATCCTTACAGAGCAGAACAGCTTCAGGGTTTAGCGTTGAAACTGTCAGGAAAGCTCAGGAATTTCTCAAGCTCACTTTTTAGGAAATGGTGACACCAATAAAATGGAAATTCGGTTTCCTATCTCAGTTTTCCTCTTGGTAACCTCATAGCTCCACATTCTGTGGTAGGGGGTGGCTTCTATGGCTGGCAGTATCATGCAGTCACATTACTGAGACATCTTTTTTTTTATTTTTTAAAAATTTGCTGCTATGTTTTGGGCCTCAGGGTCTTACTTTTATACAAGTATCCATGTTGACTTTCTCTGCCTTACGAGTTGTTAGGAAAAAAAAAAAAAAGATGGTCTTTAGTAATAAAGAAGCAAGGCTATACAGTCAAAAAGCCCAGATCCACTTACCAGCTGAATGTAAATTACTTAATTTCCTCTGCCTTCGGTTGTTTTGTTTTTCTTGAGTAAAACAGGGGTGATCGTACCTATGCCACAGGCCTGCCGGGAAGAACACAATAAATATTACAATATTTGTGGCTTCTAACTGTAAATGAAAAAATGTTCAGCACATCTTGGCTACTGTTGTAGTTATTCGAAATGAGGCATGTTATCTGCTGGGCTCTTTTCGGAAGTCTGTGCCGGATTTGTGAATATATCAAGTGTAGGGTAGTTTATTATACTAGACTTTTTGTTACTAACTCCTATGAGTAACTGACATTGGTGGTATAGTTTGGGTGTTTTAAACCTTTTATGCCTACCTACAATTAAATTGGGTATTTTAAACTTCAAGCAGTTGGGCACCTGCTGTATGCAATTCGGCAATGCATACCTAGATACAGGGATAAATTTAACAAGACCCCTATGTTGCTGGAACGCATAATTTAGGATGATGTGGAGCTAACTGTGATTTGATGTGGCAGTAGCCCAGGAGAGAGTAGCAATTAAGCCATTGTTCCCAGAGGAAACAGCATGGCTAGACATCTAGAAACTTAAAAGCTCTTAAACAGTGGAAAGTTACATAAGAAAAGTGTGTTTGGGCTAGACTTTAGAGGGCTTTGAAAACTTGCAGAAAACTTTGGCTGTGTGGAGCCTTCAAAGTCTTGAAAACAAGAGCAAGTTCAAGATATGTAGAAAGAGCTCAACAGAAATGGAGTGATGGGTGAGCGAAGGAACAGCTTGGAAGCAGCCAGGAACCACAAGCAGTCGGCAAGGGTTGATAGGTGGGGAAGGTGAATGACTTGAGGAGGGGCATTTGTTTTGTTTTATTAATTAATGAATTCATTTATTTTACATCCTGATCACAGTTTTCCTCCCACACCACTCCTTCCCCCACAACTACTACTCTGTTTCTGTTCAAAAAGGGGCAGACTTACCATGGCTGTCAATAAAGCATGCCATATCAAGTTGAGGGAGGACTAAGCTCCTCCTTTCGTATTTAGGCTGAGTGAGGCAACCCAGTTTGGGGACTAGGTTCCCAAAAAGCCAGTTCAGGTGTTAGAGACAGGCCCTGATCCCACTGCTTGGAGTGCCACAAATAGACCAAGCTACACGACTGTCACACATATGTAGAGGGCCTAGGTTGGTACCATGCAGGCTCCCTGGCTGTCAGTCCAGAGTCTGTGAGCTCCTATGAGCCCAGGTTAGTTGTTTCTGTGGGTTCCCTTGTGATGTCTTGACCTCCCTGGCTTGTGCAATCCTTCCTCCCTCTCTTCAGGATTCCGGAAGCTCAGCCCAGTGTTTACCTTGGATCTGCATCTGTTTCAATCAGTTACAAGATGAAACTCTTTGATGACAATTAGGGTAGTCACCAATCTGATTACAAGGAAAAGCCAGTTCAGTCACCCTCTCTACAATAGCTAGGAGTCTTAGCTGCGGTCATCCTTGTGGGTTCCTGGGAGTTTCCCTGGCACCAGCTTTCTCCCTAATCCTGAAATGGCCCCTCTATCAAGACATCTCTTTCATTAGTTCCCCCCTCTTTCCTGCCTCCAGCCCACCCAACTCAATCCCTCATGTCCCTATCCCCCACCTCCCACCCCCCACCCTCAGTTTTCCCCAGGAGATCTATTTCTGCTTCCCGGGGAAATTCATGCATCTCTCTTTGGGCTTGGGGGGAATTTGTAAATTCAGATAGATAAAACACAAATTGTGTTCTAGTTTCAGTCAGTTTCTGTGCTTTCTGGAGCTTAGAAAGATTCAAGAAAAGGTTGAGGGAGATGGCTCATTGGGTAAATTGCTTACTGTTCAGATGGTCAGAACCCATATTAAAGAAACCTGGCACAGTTGTACATGCATGTAATTCCAGTGTCAGGAGGCTCCTGGGGCCTTGCTGGCCAATTGATGAACTCCAGGTCCAGTGAGAGACCTTATCTTAAAAAATAAGGTGGAGAACAATAGGAAGAAAGCAATGTGGACTTCTGGCCTCCCCATATGTATGCATGGGCATGTGTACCCTAAGCATGGGTACACCACACACATGCACACGTGAAAAGGTCAAGAAAAGCATACAGCTCCTGTCTGGTATCTAGTACTCTAGTACTGATGGAGTAAGTAGCTGTAAGAGAAAAAGCAGCCAGGTAAAGTCTTCCTGTCAAATGTGTAGTAGACAGTGACTCTTTGTTTCTGGGGTGGGAACAGACTTGAGAGAGCAAACATCTGCTGGAAAGTCTAGAGTTAAGCAAGGCAAAGAACATAGGAATTAACCCTGGAAGGACAGCTATTTAGAAAGCACAAATGTAATCAATACACTACTCATTATCCATTATTTCTGCATTGATGGAACTGGTATTAGTTTGGAGTGACAATATCCACAACTGAAATACTACATCCTTGTTTTTGTGGTCAGGGATTGCCAAAAGGCTATGTGCAGAAGTCATTTATTTGGTGGAGCTTTCAGAAAAGTTTTAGATGAACTGTTGGGAATGTGTCTTTGTATTTCTTTGGACTCTTACTCCTTGACCTTTTCTTTCTTTTCTGTTGGTTCAATCTCCAAGTGCCATCCAGAGAATGAAGTAGTCTTCAGGGTAGAAGATGGAAGAAGATCAGACTATGGTGACATAAAACCACCAGAGCATGCCTGGACAGCCTACCTCTGAATTTTTTGGGAGATGTAAATAAACTTTGTGTGTGTGTGTGTGTGTGTGTGTGTGTGTGTGTGTGTGTGTGTGTGTGTGTGTGTGTGTGCAGCTGCGTGTTCCTTGCAAATTCACAAACATCTACCTTAATATCCAAATAAATGGTCAAATCTTTGCTTTCTTTTAATATTCTTACACTGCAAGTTGAAGTAAGAAAGACATCACTGAATCCTCAGGCTTTTCCGTTTTAACTAAGATCACAATAAATTAGGGGAGGGAGTTGGGACATGAAAAATACACAAAACCTTAGCAGTCAGACTAAACAAGTTTTTTTGTTGTTGTTTTGCTTTTGTCAAGCTAAACTTTTCTTATAGTCCCTAGTGAGGAACCTTAGTAGCCCCCCTTAAGGAACAGGTAGGCTAAGAATAAACTGGGTGGTGGTGATGCACGCCTGTAATCCCAGCACTTGGAAGGCAGAGCAGGTAGGTCTCCGGGTTTGAGGCCAGCCTGGTCTATGGAGTAAGCTCCAGGACCGTCAAGGCTACAGAGAGAAACCTGTCTCTAAAAAAACAAAAAAGTATTTTCATACTGCCCTTGCAGTATGAAAATTGAGCTGGGAGGATTTCCTAAGTGCAGAATGGTTTGTTTATGTTGGTAGGTCTATTAGTCTGCTTAGGCAGCCAGAACAAAATATAGATGGGTAGTGAGAAAAGCAGACATTTCCTTTTAGCTTGGGAAGCTGGAAGGCATGAGCTCGGAGCCAGCATGATCATTCTGGAGAAGAATCTTCCTGGCTTGTAGGTGACTGCTGTCTTGCTGTGTTCATTTGGCCCTTATATTGTGTACTTGTAGTATTGAAGCCCTACCTTTTTTGATCTTATGTAACCTCAGTTTTCTCCTTAAAAACCTCATCTCCAAGTACTTTTCTGTGTGGTATGTTACAAGGAGGCTGAGAAATACATGCACTTGGGGAACAGGGACCTCATGTATTCCCTAGCATTGGACTTGCAGAAAGAAACAACTCAGTAACATTTTAAAAATAGGAACTAAAACATAGGCAATCACAGAACAAAAGGTTCTTCAATGGTGCACCAATCTTGCCATTGTGGTTTATAAATAAATACTACATACCAAAGGTGTGCTTAAACATTAAATTTCCTTTCAAATGGAAAGATGAGCACTCTAGCAGCATACTTGAACTAAGACTCTAACAGCACTGTTATCAGAGTATTAAGATCACGGAGAGAAAGTAATTCACAAATGCTGTGAATACAGGTAAGAATTACAGGAAGTTAAGCAATACCCAAATGTTAAGTTCTAAGCATCAGAGAAAGTTAATTTTGAAAAGACACCAGGTAAGAATATCAGAAAAAAGTCTTCAATGAATGATCTATGAAGAGCTTTATAAAACCTTATCGAAACACATTAAAAAACACAGGTACATCATGATATTAGAAACATGGTCATTGTTATAGTTGGAAAGAAATTTAAATCAATTTATAGAAATCCTTTGAGGACATGTGACAAGCTGATTTTGAAGATGCTTTGACAAGCAAGTGCCCAAGCATAAGTGACTCTTAGAGAATGAGGTAGGAGATGTGCTCTGCTAGTTACAGTTTTTGTTCACCTATGTGTGTGATTACTGTGAGAAATTGTTGATGTGGATACAAAGCAAAGTAATGACATATAATAGAGTCCAGAAATTGATCATGCTTATGTGGCGACCATAGCCAATAAAAGTGTTGTGTAGTATAGGTTATTCAACACGGGATGCCAGGAAAATTTGTTATTCATTTCATGGTGGGGAAAAATTGAATATACCTTATGCAAAATTAGTTTTTGGCTATTGAGACCTATTTGCAAAATTCAAAATGACAATATTTTCATGAGTTGAGGTTAAGGAATATTTAATAAACTAGCTGATTTTAAGACCAGTGGCACTGAACCTTATGGTCTTAAGCCTCCTTCCAGTGTGGTAGAATTCTGGCATTTTCTGTTTCTGTCTGCTCTTCTTGTAGAGAAACAAGAACTCTTATGTTTTGGGTAGTTCTGTGGTTCCCTTAGGAACCATTCACATTTCTCTTCTGGGTGGTTCACAACACCCCTTTCCTCTTTGTTTGTTTGTTTTTTGTTAATGTGATAAAAATACCTTAAGGAGGAAAAGGTTTATTTGGATATACAGTTCCAGTTCTAGAGGGAGCAGCAGGTCAGCCCATCATATTATGTGGGAAGGAGAGAACAGAAAATGGGGCCAGGATAAAATCCCAAAGCCATCCCTAGTGACAGTAACTTGCTCTTGATGGCTTCTACTTCCTAAGGGTTCCCTAACCTTCGCAAACAATGCCACCAGCAGGGGGGACCTTGTTTTCAAACACATGAGCCTATCAGAGATGTTTTGCATTTATTCATGATGCCCACTCCCTCTGAAATTGAGTCTCAGTCCTTCATATTCTTGTGACCCAGATGTCTTCCTTGTCCACATGACACTGGGCATTATTTGCATTTTAACAAAGAGCTGCTTTGTTGAGATCATAGAAGTGACATCGTGTGCCATCTGAAGAGGACAACCAGAGCACATCCACAGCATCCACAGAGCTGTGAGACAGACTAAAATCATGCAGTCAAGTCAAAGGAAGCAGTAGAGCTCAGAAAAAAAAAAACAAAACAAAAAAACTCTTGAAATTGGCAAGAGATGAGATACACGGACAGAAACAGGAGCAGGCTGGCCTAAATTCTGCTATGCTGGGATTCAATGAAGAGGTGTTCCTGGTTCTAATTGTCATTGAGTTTATTCTTGGAAATCTGGTGAATAGTTTCATTGGGTTGGTCAATGGCAGCCACTGGTTCAAGAGCAAGAAAATGTCTTTGTCTGACTTCATCATCACCAGCTTGGCCCTCTTCAGGATCTTTCTGCTGTGGATCATCTTTACTGATGGCCTTATAATAGTATTCTCTTACCACATCCATGACTCAGGGATAATAATGCAACTTATTGATGTTTTGTGGACATTTACAAACCACTTCAGTGTTTGGCTTATTTCCTGTCTTGGTGTTTTCTACTGCCTGAAAATAGCCAGTTTCTCCCACCCCACATTCCTCTGGCTCAAATGGAGAGCTTCCAGGGTGGTCGTTGGGATGCTGTGGGGTGCATTGTTCTTATCCTGTGTCTGTACCATGTCTCTGATGAATGAGTTTAAGATCTATTCTGTCCTCAGTGGAAGCAGAGGCACGTCAAACATGACCGAATACTTGCGATTGAAGACAAGCGAATATAATCTGATGCATGTCCTTGGAAATCTGTGGAAGCTTCCTCCCTTAATTGTTTCCCTGGCTTCGTACTTTCTGCTCCTTCTTTCTCTGGGGAAGCACACACAGCAGATGAAGCAATACAGCATTGGCTCCAGAGATCAGAGTACTGAGGCCCACAAAAGAGCCATCAGAATCATCTTCTCCTTCCTCTTACTCTTTCTCTTCTACTTTCTTTGCTTTCTGATCTTGTCATTCAGCCGTTTCCTACCAGGGACCAAGATTGCCAGGATAATTGGTGTAGTAATTACCATGTCATACCTTGTTGGGGACTCATTTATTCTCATTCTGTGTAACAACAAGCTAAAGCAGACATTTGTGGCAATGCTTCCGTGTGAGTGTGGTCACCTGAAGCCTGGATCTAAGGGTCCCTTTGCTTCATAGAATATCAGAGGGCCTAGGCTGGAGCCTGGGGGTTCTTCAGCCTGGTTTAGCACTAGGGAGCCCTTCTGACTTTCCCATTGATCAGTCTAGACCATCAATAGGAGAGATGTTGCCTGGTTTGCCCCTGATCCTACCTGGCTTAAAAGCAAATGCCACGCTTCTAAAGGCCTCTCTCCACAGGATCGACTGGACAGGTGCAACAGTCTTTGGGAAATGCCAGTGTAAGAACTCTCACTATGTAGACACGGAGATGCATTTCAATAAGCATCAGTTTAAGCATAACCACCTTATATATTAGTTTTACCTTAAATTTTATGTCGATATAAGTAAAGTGCTGCTGTAGACTTGAGACAAAGAACAAAAGCATTTGCTTTTCCATAGATGTGGACTTGAATTCTGGTTCTGTCAACTTTCCATTTTTGTCCTTGGAATAATTATTTTTGTGCTTTTCCCTTACTCTAAAATATGGATGATAACATCATCCTCAAGTAGCAGAAATTCATGAGACCATGTGTGCCAACATTTTAGCACAATGTGTTAATGTAAAGTGCTGGATTAAGTGAAGGCTGTCTTGTCAAACAATGAATGATGCAATATCAATCCTTTTAAGACAGCACTTCCCACAAGCCCTGGGAAATTCTGTAAACATGAAAATCAAGACCCTTGGATTTCAGACTCCAGGCCATTCTTGTGTTTCGTTGACATATTTTACTAAAGTTAATTCCAAGTAATCTTTTTTTGACTTCGTAAAAGACCAAGTATTTTTTTCCTCAAGAGATGATTTTTTAATTAGTTCAAATTAGAAACAAGGCTGCTTCACATGGCAATACCTTCTACCTCTCCCTCCCCTCCCCCAGCCCCCCTCTAGCTGCCTACCTCATACCCCACTCTGCTCCCCAGGGAGGGTAAGGCCCTCCAGGGGGGTCGGTAGGTTGGTTGTATCATGCTGGGCAGGGCCTAGGCCCTCCCCCATGTGTCTAGGCTGAGAGAGCATCCCTCCATGTGGGATGGCCTCCCAAAGTCCCTTCTTATGCCAGGGAAGGACCAAGCATTTTTGTCCGTCCTCTCCTTCACTCTCTTCTCCCCTCCCTTGCTCTTTTCAAGATGCATATATGCTTTCAAAATTTATAGAATATGTAGATGTGTGTATATATTAATGTTTAATTAATATTTAAAAAGAATAGACATTAGTTTATTGTCGTTAAATCAATGAGAATATTGTTTAGTATCATAAAAAGCTAATTTTGTGAACGTAGTCTGTTAGGACACATGGCGCTCGTGTTCCTAAATGTGGGTCTCTAATGTGACTAACAGTTACCCTGGATTTCACATCAGAGTACTTTGATGCCTAAGGGGACGAGTTGTCACTGCAGAGACCTAAGCAGAGATCCAGGTGGATTTATAAAGGCAACACAAAGAGTGGATTTTTTTTTTCTGGGTGAACCCCAGAACAGACTATGGCACAAATTCCCTCTCTCTGTTATTCTCCCCTCAACACGTCTTAGGAAAAGCTTGTGTCAAGAGGGGATTGTTCCTTGAACTTCTGTGTTAGATTCAGTAAATCACCTCAGGTGTGAAGAGGCAAAGGCGTCAGTGGTGTGGTCAGAATACAGTTGCAGAAAATGGCTGCCGTTTCAACATATGGGGGCACGGACACTGGTTCAGAAGGTCGAGAGGGAAAGGTGTGGGGAGAACGAGGCATGCTGGATCCCACAACATTCTGTGGTTTCTATTAAGTAAAGCTGCTGGGAAACTGAAATCGTGTTGTGCTAGAGCACGCCGGGTGGGGTTGAAGTTCTTGGAGTCTGCTACAACTCCCTCTTGTCTTTCTGCTCTTGGTGGAACAGTTTCCAGATTCACTTAAGCTTGTTTGTAATTAGGCATTTCTAAGAAAATAAGAATAGGAGTGAAGAAATCGTAATTTAATCCTTGAAAGATTTGCATCCCAGTAAAAGCAGCTGCCTCTTAGAGCAGAAAGCGCTCATTTGCCACCGTGGAAAATAAAAAGGAGACCTCCTTTCAGGCTGAATTGCATGCCTACATACACATTTCAGTTTGTTTTCATCAGCACTACCAACACTGACTCTTCAGAGAGCAGAGATGCTTTGGCAACTGTATTTATTTGTGTTTGCTGCCTCCATGATTTTTAGTTTTGTAGGAATCATTGCAAATCTGCTTATTATAGTGGTCATTTATAAGACTTGGATCAAAAGCCACAGAATCTCCCCTTCAGACAGGATCCTGTTCAGCTTGGCCGTCACTAGATTCCTGACTCTGTGCTTGTTTCTCCTGAACTCTGTCTACATCACTACAAGTGCTGTAAGGTCAGTCTCCTTCTCCACAGTTTTCCTATTGTGTTGGAAGTTTCTGGACTCCAACAGTCTCTGGTTAGTGACCTTGCTGAACAGTTTGTATTGTGTGAAGATCACTAATTTCCAGCAGCCAGTGTTTCTTCTCTTAAAAAGGATGGTCTCTGCAAAGACCTCCAGCCTGCTGCTAGCATGTCTTCTGATTTCTGCCTTCACCACACTCCTGTACCTTGTGCTCACACGGATATCACGTTTTCATGAACACGTAACTGGGAGCAATGACACGGTGTTCGACCTCAGTGAGGGCATCTTGACATTGGCAGCCTCCTTGGTCTTGAGCTCACTATTGCAGTTTATGCTCAATGTGACATTTGCCTCCTTGTTGATCCATTCCTTGAGAAGACATGTGCAGAAGATGAAGAGAAACACCAGCAGCTTTTGGAATCCCCAGATGGAGGCTCACGTGGGTGCCATGAGGCTGATGATCTGTTTCCTCCTGCTCTACATTCCGTATTCCATTGCTGCCCTGCTCTATCTTCCTTCCTATGCAAGGAAGAACATGAGAGCCCAGGCTGTTTGCATGATTATCACTGCTGCTTACCCTCCAGGACACTCTGTCCTCCTCATCATCACACAGCATAAGCTGAAAGCTAAAGCAAAGCAGATTTTCTGTTTCTATAAATAGTGACGTTTCATTAGGAAAGCTTGACAGTATCACTTCATGATTTGGTTTTGTGTTAGAAATTTCCCAGTGATCTAAGGACTTGATTTTGTCATCTTCTATCTGGCATCCTGACCCTGATCCTAAGTGCTTGTATTTTATCCAATACTTCATCCTTTGGCTAATATTTTTAAAGTAAAGCACATTCCTTAAGGAATTGTATGGGGCATTTGTGGATTTTGCTTGGTCATTATTACATTCTTAGACGATGGAAATCACCATACTGTTCCACTAGCTCCCTAAGTATAATGGAATGTCCCTGAATGAAGGCCACATTGTGAAGTACATGGTTAACACAAACTAGAGAATTTAACCAAGAATCCCCGGAGAAGATATCACTAATAGGTAAGCTGTCACTGAGTAGATTATTGGCTTGAAGTGTAACAAGGCAGCAGAAAAAGAAAAGGGGGGGGGCTTCAGAGCAAAAGAGAGGCATTCGCGGGGCATAGCAGATAAAGGATCCTGATGTTTGTTGAGCTGTTACCATCAAGAAACCCTAGCACTGAATTTCTAGGCTTGATCTAGAAAGGATCTAGAAGAGTTGATAGAGTGACTAATAGCAAACAATTCAATCAAGACAGCTGGAACTCGAATAATCTATCTTAATATCGAGAGACACAGCCCTAGCGCAAAAGCAAGCTCTATTCAGATGGTGGGAGTAGCACCACCTGAGTGAAAATTTCCACAGCACCGCACCCACACCCTGTGCTACAGAGTTCGGCAGAAGGCTGAAAGCATTGAGCTGGTGGTGGAGCTCTGGACTCGGTGGGCTTATTTCATTGCTTTCTACATTGCACAGTTGCCCAGGAGAATGCTGTTTGGGGGAAGCTGACGATAGGTATTGACAAATTATGAAGTGGGAATTGAGCATTCGTTATTTACATCTATGCAGTTAAAAACTAAATTGCTTGTGTAATATTTTTACATCTTAAAATAAACTTTCAAAATGTACAAATCACCTGACTTTTCCTGTTCCTACCCACCACAGTCTTCACTCAAATATTTAGTCAATATTACCCAAGCAGTATCAACGGTATAGAACCTGGAGGTATTAGTCACGTTATAATTTCAGTAGATAAAATAGATGCTGATGAGTGAAGTCATAAATGAAACCTGTGCCATGAGAGCTCTAAATGAGTGGAAGAGCTCTTCATTAGTCCTTTAATAGCCCTTTCCCCTCTTTTTCATATAATCAAATTATGAACTGTCCAGAATTTGTAGTTTCCCCTTCTAAGTTGGTACTGTATTGCCAATGGAGTAGAGATAGAGATAAAGTCTGTAATTTCTACAATCAGTCATTTCCTTACTTCTCATTTCTCCTTTTTGTTTGTTTTTGTTTTTGCCCATAGGCCAGAATGTTTGCCTCTTCTGAACTATGCATCTGAGGTAAACACTTGGAGATGGTGGAGTTACGATCTATCCTTGAATTGGTGCCATGCTTCATGACATAGAAGTGTTGCTACCTAAGTGTTTGTGCCTAAATTCCAGGATGGATCGTGAGAAACAAATATCTCCATTGTTTGCTTTTATGAAAACAGAAACAGTTTTATTTTGTTACCTTGATGAAGTAACTTATCTTTTAGCATATTTTAATACAATGACATGTCTTCATGTCTTTATGATGAAATGGTATATAATTACTTATAATATTATAATCAAAACAATATACTATTTGTTAAGCAAAACCAAAAGCACATAGATGTGTTATATCTGTTTTTTAAAAATTATGAAGAAATGTTTTGCTATGGTCCTCTATGATCTGTGGCTCTTACAATCTTTCTATCCCCTCTTCTGCAATGGTCTCTGAGCTTTGGCAGTGGGGTATGATATAGATGTCCCATTTGTGGCTGGGTACTCTCTGAACTTTGAACAGTTAGGAGTGTTTGTATTAATTACTACCTACTTCTCAAAGAAACTTCTCTGATGTGGTCTGAGAGCTGCACTGATCTATAGATAGAAAGAGATTTAGAAGGCAGTTTGATACAATGTCTATTTAGCAAAATAACAGGAATAGGTTTATTCCTGGGGTCCCTGACTCAACTATGGTTCTTGGCCAGGTTTGCAGTATTAGGCATGTGTTTCCTACAGTGGAGTGGACCTTAAATCCTATGAGGAAGTGGATGATTACATCCATAACATTCTTGCCATTATTACATTTATATGCATAGCTTGCCACACTGGTCATTGTTGCATTTCACAGGGTTCAAATATGGGTAAGACTACTCATAACTACCAAACCCCAGCAGTCTTCGTAGTACCTTCTAGTGCTAAGGGAGTGTCTTAAGATTTCTATTGCTATGAAGAGACACCATGATCATGGCAACTCTTACAAAGAAAAATGATGGGGGAAGTCCTTCTGTGTGTGTTATCTTATTGGTTGTTGAATAAAGGACTGTTGGCCAATGAAGAAGCAAGTTAGGCAGGACTAGGAGTCAAGGAGGATTCTGGGAAAGGTAGTAAAGATAAGTCATGTGATCCAGGCAGGAAGTGACATAGCAGGCAGACTCAGAATATAAGCAGGAAATCGCTCTCTCGCTCTCCCTCCTCCTCCTACTCTCTGCTCTGGAGCTGCCATGTGATCCCGGCAAGACAGGATGCATTCTGCTGGCATCCTCCATAAGATAAGTGTTATGATTATGGTTGATAATTAAGACTGAGCTAACAGATAGGAATCCTAGTCATTGGCCAGCAGCATTTGTACCTAATATTAAGTCTCTGTGTATTATTTGGGGTCCTAACTTGGCAGGCAGAACTCGGGCGGCTGGCAGTAAGACTTATCGTTACAGAAAAACATTTAATTGGGGCTGTCTTACAGTTTAGAGGTTTAGTCTATTATCTTCATGGTGAGAAGCATGGTGGTATGCAGAAAGATATGCACTGGGGAAGGAGCTGAGAGTTTTACATCTGGATTCATAGGAATCAGGAAGAGACACTAAGCCACTAGGCCTGGCTTGAACTTCTGAGACCTCAAAGCCCACGTCTAGTGACTTACCTCCTCCAACAAGGCCTCACCTATCCCAATAAGGTCACTCTTCCTATTAGTGCCACTCCCTATGAGTCTATGTGGGACCATTTTTCTTTCAAACAACCACAGAGAGCTATCCATCAGGAAGGAAGATTCCTAGTGAGTACCACGTTGATTTCTCCATGTCCTATGACTAATATATGTAGTGTCTTCAGCAATATTGTCTTACATAAAGCTCTAGTGGTCAACCAAGAGCAATGACAATAGTTTGTATTGTTTGGGGGCCTGTGGAACACATTTGTCCTACAAGTTGAGGAGATATATCTCATACCAGGCACTGGTCTTTTTATTTGCCAATATGTGGTTCCTGGCATGAGCATAGCCTTTACATATTAAGTTGTTCTGACAAAGTTCTGCTGATTGGTTCTTGATTAGACTATGTTTTTTCTCCCCACTTGAGTTGGATGTGCTGTCTTTGTACTAACTGTTTTTGCTGCCTGGAAAAAATCTTGAGAATTTGTTAAGTACTTGTCCAAAGTCCTCTCTGGAGATTTTTTTTGCCTATAGCAAAACTCCAATAGATCAAAGACATCAACATAGCACCTCATACACTGAACTTAATAGAAGAGAAAGTAGGGAATAGTCTTGAACTTATTTGCATAGGAGAAGACTTCCTGAAGAGAACACTGTTAATACAGGCCCTAAGATCAACAATTAATAAATGGGACCTCATGAAGCTGAAAAGTTTCTGCATGGCAAAGGATACATCGGATGGACAAAGAGGCAGCCCACAGAATAGGAAAAGAATTTTTACCAACAATACATCTAAAATATATAAAGAACTAAAACATTGATATAGAAAAGTAAAATAACCTAATTTAAAATGGAGTACAGATCTAAACAGAATTCTCAAAAACATCAAATGGCTGAAAAACAAAGAAATGTTCAATGTCCCTATTAGTCATCAGGGAAATGTAAATCAAAAAAATTTTGAGATTTCATCTTTCACCCATCAGAATTGCTAAGATCAATTGTCTAGCCTGTGCCAGTCCCATGCTACAGAGGCCATCTATTCCAGACTGATGTCTTTGGGGCTGCGATCGAAACCAGCCAAACAGCCCCGGGTCCAACCCTGAGTAGGGGAGTGTGGATGAGGGAAGCCTAGCTACCCAATGGCGTTAAGGATGAGACAGAGACATCTTGTCATCTCAGGAGGGCTCTCAGTCAATACTGGAGACTACAGTTTATTCTGGCATCATCTTAAATAACTTCCCAAAAGCAGGGGTACTGGCAGAAGACATCTTTCATCATGTATAAAGGGCTGACTAGGAAACACTTCCTTTAATCCTAGATGTAGTCCTAGAACTCATGTACTGAAGACCTCAGACATTAAATAAGGGCACGTCCCACTAGTCCCCAGGCACATCTCAGTAGCCCTTAGGATGGGTGTGGGTTCACCCAGGGCCTAGGTCTATTGTTACACAAACCAGGAGCCATTCTCCACCATGGCCAGACCATCCAGAGGTAACCAGCTGACAACTAAAAGACAATGGGAGATTCGAGCTCCTGGAATTGAGCTGAGGCCTATTCCGAAATATTATATTTGGGCCCCGACAATTAATAAAACAAATGACATCTCATTCTGGTGAGGATATGGAGTAAGGGGAACAGTCATCCACTGCTGGTAAAAGTACAAACTTGTACAGCCACTATAGAAATCAGTGTGGTGGTTCCTTAGGGAGATGGTAATCAATTTACCTCAGATCTAGCCATAGCACTCTTGGGCATATTCATCCTACCACAAAGACACTTGCTCAACTAATATTGCTGCTCTATTCATAATAGGCATAAATTGGTAACAGCCTGGATGTCCCTCAACAGAAGAATGGATAAAGAAAATGTGGTACATTTACATAACAAAGGAGATGAGGAGGGACAGCTAAAATTAAGGGTCATTTGAGGGGAAATATGGAAAGCTAATACAGTAGAAGCTTCCTAAAATATGTATGCATATGAAGGTAATTGATCAAAATGAAATCACCAAATAATGTGGGAGACAGAGCTCCAATTGGTCATCTCTTTTCACCAAATGAAGCTTCCAGTGCTGAAATTGGGCTACATCTTATTGAGCTGTTGGCCAAAGAAGTCCCATAGAAATCCCCTCAAACTCTACTGTTGCCAAACAAACTGACTGCAAGGTCCCTTCCCTGAAGACAACACCTATACAAACCATTAAACACATAGAAGTAGGCCTGGTGCCTACAAAGAAACTTCACTCTTAGGTTCTAGTGTTTTGGGCACAGGAAGGCCCTCTACTTGCTACCAAAGGAGAAACATAAGCACCAACCCAGTCATGAACCCTTTGATCTACACACAATCTCTGCTTGAATATGTGCTAGTGCAATGATGGCACAAAGTTTGTGGGAGTAACCAAATAATAGATGTTTTTTGACTTAAGGCCAACTCCATGAGATGAAACTCATACCTGAGACTGGGTAGCCCCGCCTCCTAGTAGCCCCT